GACCTGTTTTACTGTAACACTGACATGTTTTACTGTAACACTGACACATTTTACTCTAACACTGACATGTTTTACTGTAACACTGACAAATTATACTGTAACACTGACATGTTTTACTGTAACACTGACATATTTTACTCTAACACTGACATGTTTTACGGTAACACTGACATATTCTACTCTATCACTGACATGTTTTACAGTTTTGCATGACATGACTTTAAAATGAACAGGACTCTAAACAGGATGAAATGGTTCATGAAGTCAGTTTTATTTTTGTCAAATTGTTTTTACAGCAGAAAAGAGAATGAGGTCTGTACATATTTACAGAGAAAAGTCATCGTTAGCGCTCCTGCTCACAGATCTGATCAGTGAACTCATGGAGAACCCTAACCCTACCTGCACCGAAGGAACATGGAGTTTTACCCACTCAACACAAACACAACTCCATGAAATCAAGATAAAACTAAGTGTTTGGGCCTTTGGCCTCTGCGACAATAGAATTGTTTTGATAAAACAAAGGACAAATCTAAAATTTTAATTTATAAAAAGCAAATAGGCTAAAGTCTTCCAAATATGAAATGAAAGTGTCATATTTCCATAAAATCACAAATAAATCTATCCAAACACGCTCTTTTACAAACCACTTGTACAGAAGATCCTTTGGACATTCCCGTGTGCCTGGAGCCACTGCTGGAGCTCCGGTCTGCTCCTGTGGTCAAAAAGTGTGGCTGTGAATATCACTTGTTTCCATGGCGATGAGTCTGCAGGTATGTGGAGCTGCTGTCAGGGGTGAGGCCTACGGCCCTCTTCATCTACAACTGTCCCTGCGTGACTGGATCACCCTGATGTTGACCAGAGGATCATGAAGCTGTAACCTACAGTGTCTCACAGTGTCACTGAGCTCATGTTTAAAGTCTTCTTAAAGTAGACATCTTATGTTTTAGAGTTTTGTTGGCCTAGTTTGACCTTTTCCAAATACTGTGTGGAAGTGAACCAGGCTGATGGAGTAAGGAGCAGCATGACTAATAGCACCTCAAAGCTAACAGATAGATGAGTTGTGTAATGAAGGCAATGTGAGCACTGAAATGCTCCAAAAATGGTTTCACATATTTATGTCCTTTAAAGCCTCAGTTAATGCCGTTGCTTCCATTTAACGTAAAATCATAAAGTGTTCTATAACTCTTGTGGCTCTCCATGGGCCTCTGCACCGGCCGATGCTTTTGTACACAGTTAGCACGTCTCTGCTGTCCACAGGTGGGGCCGGTCCTCTCTGATCTTCTCAGCTCCTCTCTGCTCCTCTCATCTCCTCTCTGGTCCGGAGTGACTCAGGCTTTGGCGCTGAGGCTGAGCAGTTCCATGAAGGAGCCGAAGAGCTTGTCGATCCAGCCGTGGTTGGCCATACAGCGCTGCACCACCTCCTCCTGCCCGGGGTCCTCTGAGGCCTGTTCCATGCTCACCGTCTGCTCACAGGGACACACAAGGACCAGAGTCAAGCACAGACAAACCTCCAGCAGCCCATCGCAGTGTGGAGCACGAGCAACATCACAAGGAATTCAAAATGCCCTAACTGCCCTTTCCAGCCTTTCTATAGTCCGAGAATCTGGAATTGAGCACGTTACCTGTTCTCTGTTTCACTTTGACAACAGAAGTCCACTCTGGTCTGTGAACGTCGTGAAAAGCACTCATAAACTCATGGCGATGAATAACTAGAAAGCTTAAAATGCATAAAGAGGAATAACTTCAAACTACAAATCGTTTAAAATAAACCAGTTCTGTTTTTCACCTTTTTAAGACAGTACAAATCGGGCACAGAGCCTCTAATTATGTTGATCATTTGTTGCTCTGTGAAAATCTGGCAACTCTGCTTCAGTCTGTTAAACTAGTCTGGGAGATTACACCAACATTATTTTATTACTATTAAGAAAACTACAGTACAGTAAAATCAGCAGATATTGTTTGAATTTCATCATTGGAAAAACAATCTAATTTGTAAACAGCGGGAAATGGAATGCACAGAAAGACAGGAAGTTTAGTGTTGCATTAGCATTATCTTAAAAACTACTTTACTCTTTAGTGCTACAAACCAGATCTCTTCCTCTTCATCGCAAATTGGTAAGACATTGACAAGAATGTAATTATTTAAAAGTGCCTTATCTCTAGGCCTCTGTTTTGGTGTCTACCTTATATTCCCTTAAGACTTCTCATTTCAGGGATTCAAGGTGAAGTTTTAGCCAATCTCAGCCAATCATAACGACTGACTGTGATGTGATACTAAAACAATAGATAGATTGTTGCCAAATGAATATCAAATCTACCATTTCTTATGCTTGGTAGCTTGGCAGCAAGTACCAATAAATCAGAATATATGCTCTTTCTGCTCAACTCCAAAAATAGTGTGGCCTCAAACAGATCAGTATAGAGTCGCAGATGATGGATTCTCAAACCACACGAGATCCCACCTGGAATGCAGGACAATACTCGTCCAAACAGAACCACACATTTTTGGGAGACTTTACAAAGACGAGTGGATTTGGAGCCGTGTCCTGTGTCCCTGATTTCAGAGTCACAGGCAGATGAACCAGTCTGAGACACCCATGTTATGTTTGCATCAAAAACAAACATGGCTTACACATTAAAAAAAACAAAACAAAACAAACAAAACAACATAAAGGACTGAGAAACTGCATGGATTTTCTTGAGAACTTATCTCAGGTAAAAGAAGTTCTGAATGTATTTTCTGTATTTAAAGGCTCTTATGATCATATTTTCTGATCAGTTCTAATGTTTTTCTCTCATCACAAACAGACCTGGAGTTGTGTTTTGTTTCATTTGCACATGTTTAACACACAAACCCTGCATATTTAGAGCTCTTTTCTCAAACGGTGTTCCACCTTGTGATGTCATGCAGTAATACAGGAAGTGCTCCACTATGTTTTTAAACTCCGTACACCTTCACTAGAATCATCTGGATGATCTCAGCCCTGGAATTGCCGATCTCAAGTGAACTAAAGTGAACTAAGGTAAAACATAGATGTTGAATTTGAAAACTGCTATTACATGACATCACAAGGTGGAACAGAGCATGTTGAGGTTTATAGATGCAGACAGATTAATAATTAGTTAACAGCATTATAACATGGCTTAAAGCTCACAAGAGTCATACAGGACCTTTAAGAGACACATGCTACAAATCAGCTGCTGTGGTTGAACTGTCTCAACTTTGGATGGTGATTTTTCACTCTCTATTGTTCCATTCCAAACCCTTCTGAATTTGGACAAAATGTACAACCCAGCCCTACTTTCAATACAACTTTTTTGCTATTATATCTTGTAAACCTTATATACAGCCCTCCTGGAGTTGAAAGTCATACCTCTTTCTTACACCGCAGGAAAGTATGGTATTTGTAGTGGTGCAGGGCGTGGTACAAAGAGTAGATACGGCAGGTTTCCACTGACAGCTGCAGCTCCTATCAGCACACAAAAGCTGTATGTCATACACATACACATGGTCAACATTACATGTGAACATACAAGTCCATACCTGCTGTTTGGAGGTCCTTCTCTTGGCTCGATTCAGCGTTTTACGATTGTAGCTCTCCCCGCTCAGGCTCACCCGCACCGCCCCACAGTCCAGGGGGTCCGCGGTCAGCTTAGGGAAGACATGCAGAGCCTCCTGGAACGTAAAGGAGAGGACCAGAGAAGAGTGTCAGAGTGGAGAAGGAGAGGAGAGGATGAGATTGGAGGAGAGCCAGACCTGATGAGGAGCAGACATGTTGACTCGCAGTAACAGTCTCCTCTTCTGACCGCTGAGGAGGCCGTCGATCTGCCTCATGGACGGGAGGTACAGCTCATCTGAAACACATGGAAAGATAGAAGTGTCCTGTGATGGATTTGGACTGGATAGGTGAGGCTGATGTTTGCAGTTGTATGAACTAATCTGATTGGTTTCCATGTATTATGAGCACTGGTTGTGAGATTCTAATTGTCAGACAGAGGGTTCTGGCCTAATAATTCTGTGGGTGATGCATTGTTTCTGAATGAAATGTTGAACCTTGTCATCATTTGATTGGTTCTTTTCAACTGACAGCAACTCTGCCCTCCAATCCTGACCTGTTTCAGCTCAGTTTAAACTAGAAGGATTCTGCAATGTTGTTTTTGATGGTGCAGGATCAAATGAGGGTTTCCTGGTAGTGTGTTCCCTCAGAGCAGAACCCAAATATAAGTGAACAGATACCCTTAAGTCTTTAACTACATTATCTAATCAGTTCTTGACGACTCCAGTTTGTGAGGTTAGCATGTATGTGTTCCCCTCTGGAAGGGTCCTGTCTTCCCCACAGCAGTATGTGATCAATTATGCATATTCTACTAATGTATGTCCAGAGGTGTCCTGCTGCAGAGAGACCAACAGGAGCCGCTGGTAAATACCTCAACACAGCTCACCAACACCATCTACTGTCACATACAGTACAAATACACAGTACAAATATATGTAGAGTTCTTAACAAATGATTATGCTCCTTGTCTGAGGTAACATAAATCTTCTGTGACTGGTTTATGTAAATGCAGTGCATGTGACTCACCATCAGTGTCCTCCAGGGCTTGGATCATGTCGGGGTCCAGGGCAGTGCTGACCAGCATCTCCACATAACTCCTGAATAGGTCCCTCAGGCCTCGGCTGTTCAGGCCTCTCTGAGCAGAACCTGGAGACAGCCAAGAAGCCCTCATCACAAGGACATTCAAAGAACAGAGGATGAGCCTAGCAGCCCCCTGCCACCAGCTCTGGTAAATCACACAGTGTCTAAGCACAATCAGGGGACCTGTATGGCTCAGTTTTACAGATGAGGTTGTCAAAAAGGAACTTAACCATATGGGGACTGGGAAGGCTTTAACTGAGTATCAAGCTGCTGTGGACTTACACTACGTTCAGACCATGGCATCAAAACTGCTCTATTTGGATGCCTTTACATTTGGGGACAAAGGTTGTGACTTTTCAACTCTTTGCTGCAGGAATGTTGAACTAGCCTAGAAGCAGCTCCCCCACAGATGTTGCATGTAAACCCATGACCCCTGACATCACACCCTTTAACACTCAGTTCATGGTTCCATAGACTCTGTGCACAACTCACTGTACGGTTTTTGAGTATTTACTTTTAAAATCAAAAAGCTCATAGAGAAGCCCAGAGAGAAAAAAAGTATTTGTGTGTTTCCCCCACAAGGGGCTCAAGGTGAGGTCTTGTGCTTGGTGTACACTGACTGCAAGTGTGGTTCAGGACTCGAGCAAGACTTAGAAATTCATTAAAATCAGTGCAGCCTGTTACAGTGTCCTTGACAGAGTGAAGTTTTTTAGTTTAGTTATTTTGTTGTAGTTGCTGTAAAGGGCAATCTGCAAATGACCTGCTGTAAGTATGTGCAGAACATGTGTGGCCAGACAGGCTGGGGAATGTGTGTCATTATTGTGAAGGTTGATGGGACATAAGTAGCAGGTCAGGGGTGCATGTATTTGTGCATGTACTTTATTTACAGGCTGCAGATACATCAAGGACTATCTCCATTGGTCCAGTCAGGAAAAAAAAACATATGGGAGTATTTGAGACTTGGAGCAGTACTCACAGGCAGTGTGTGTGTCTTCGTCACTAGCAGGTGAAGAGTCGGACTCGGAGGAAGAAGACCTCTGCTCTGCGCTCGTCCTGCTCCTCTTGAGTGGAGGCTCTAATGGCTCTGGGTCCACTCTGCTCCTGTCCTCTGAGACCGGCTCTGGCTCTCTGTCCTGCTCCTCTCTCTCTCTGACCCTACTCTCCTGACCTTCTGACCCCCTCTCTCTGACCTCTCTGTCCTGCTCCTCTCTCTCTCTGACCCTGCTTTCCTGGCCTTCTGACACTCTCTCTCTGGCCCTGCTGCTCTGCTCCCTCCTCAGCACAGCCACATCTTTGTCTTTTCTCTCTAGCCTCTCTCTGCTCTTCTGTTGGTGTTGGTTACTGCATTTATCACTCTCTCTTTTGTCTCCTACAGCTTCTCTTCTCTCTCTCCTCTCACCCTCTTTTCTCTCTGTCTCTCTCCTTTCACTTTCCCTCCTCTCTGTCTCTCTCCTCACACTCTCTCTCCTCTCACTTTCTCTCTGCTCTCTTTCTCTCCGCTCACTCTCTCTCTTCTCCTTGTCTCTCCTTTCTGTCTCTCTCTTCTCACTCTCCTGCCTTGCACTCTCTCTTTTCTCACTCTCTCTTCGCTCTCTGTCTCTCCTCTCAGCCTCCCTCCTTTCGCATTCTCTTTTCTCACCTTCTTTTCGTTCGGTCTCTCTCCTCTCCGTCTCTCTTCTCTCATTTTCTCTCCTCTCGCTCTCTCTCCTTTCACTCTCTCTCCGCTCGCTCTCTCTCCTCTCAGACTCTCTCCTGATGCCTTCCCTCACTCTGCTCTCTTCCTCTGTTGACTGGTGGCGTTCATTTTGAGGTGGGTACTGTTGAAGAATGGAGCTCAGATGGTTGTGGAGTGGCTGTCGTCTATGAGTATTAAAGAAATTAAATAGGTTGACAATCCAGAATCGAATTTCAGAATCAAATTTGTAAGAATGAAACATGAATGGAGTTGTAATGGGCTTTGTTTACCTCACAGTCAGAGAGGCCCGGTGCCATGGCTTGCGGGAGCACACTCGGACATAGTCTTTCTTGTTGATGTTCTCCAGAAACTTCACATACAATCGTTGGTATTGTATTTTAGCATCACCAAAATATCCCAGATACTGAAAAAAATCAATTAATCCATTTTAAAAATCCCTTAATGCAATACTTTTTAATGCAAGGTGGAATGGACATCATGCTATGGAAGACAGGTGCAGATTAAATGTATACAGTTATAGCCTTTTTTTTTTTTTTTTAACCATTATAGTGGCTCCTGTCCACATCTGACTGGGGCACAACCATTACAACTGGATGACAACCAGTTTGCTCTCCACTTAAACGACTGCATCTGTCTAGATCAGACAGTGCAGGTCTCTAAGGTGCATCAGCCAACATTCTAAGTGCAGTAATAGTGGAGACAGTGGACAGCCTTGTCTGTTCACTGCCCAACATTTCCAACAAACACTAAAGAAGGCCACTTCTCAAAGCTATCAATGAAATGTGTAACAACTCTTCATGTTGACTCAGTGTCAATAAAAAAGGATCACCCCATGGCAATCAATGATCAGGAGGAGTGTGCACTACAGAGCTGTGCTGAAGAGCTTTTGAAGACTTACAAAACTCAACCCTAAATGTAATTATCAAAATGTAATTATCAAAGAACTGAAGACCCGAAAGCGTCATTGAACGTCATATCACATACATGGTCAAAAGGATCATGTAAACTTGCCCATCAACTTCAGATGGGGTTTATTGGCTTGTGAAGAAACCTTAACCTTGTGTTTGCATCAACCAAGTCATTCCAACATCTTATCGATGTGACATGCCTCATGCACTGATGGATACTCTTGTAGGTAAACATGCTGTTTGTCATGGACATGACTATGGAAAGCATCATTTTGCAGTAACAAAATCATGCTCAGGGTGAGGTACTGTTAAGCTCTGCGGGAATCTTCCAGTTCTGACACAATGCCAGCAGTTCATTCATGCATCTTGTATGAGGAAAATGGTTTATGACATGATTTCATAACAGGAAGAAGAAACCATGCGTACGTTACTGGTAGCACCGTATTGTCTCTGACCATCTTTAATTTCTGGACTAAACTTTTGGAGCAAGGCCTTCTGCACTCTCCAGATAGGTGGCGGTTCCCTGCCTGTCTGCAATGCCATCTGATAATGAAAACATGTAGTTTAATATTTACCATCAGCGTGTAGAGTAAGTACTGTAGGCTGACTGACCAACCTTTAAACTTCCAATGTCTTCAGTTCGCACCACAAACTCGTCCCGTTCACGGAAGATCCCTTCTCCCTCGCTCTCGCTGCCCTCCTCCTCGCTCTCCCCGGCGATCGCTGCACTAGCCTGCTTCTTGGCCAGGTGCAGCGAGGTGACCCTTTGTGGGGCCTGGACCTCCTCTGGGGTGGGTGGTGTTGGTGGAGGTGTGGACGATGAAGATGGCGAGGGAGGAGAAGACACAGCCAGATCCTGGGTGTGGTCCAAGGACACTGGGGGTGGAGGGGTGGAGGGCTGTACGATGGGGTTTGGAGGAGGAGGTGGTGGGTCATACAGGTGTTGGGCAAGAGGAGGTTCGGACTGGTTTTCGACAGGTTCAGAGGATAATGACACGGGTAGGTCATCTACAGGCAGTGGTGAGGACAGATGATCAGGCACAGCTCCTGAAAGGCAAAATCAGATCCTTAGACTGTATAAAAGAAGTGAACTAAGTAAGTGTGACATCACCCACAGCCTTCAGGCAAATGAAGGTGATTGAGGCTAGCAGTTCCAGTGGATAGTTTCAAAATAGTGAAATAAAACCCCAGGAACATGTAGAGCGGGTTAATACGAACATTTTAAGATCAAAATGAGTTGACTTGAACACTGAGAAGCAGTCATAGAATATATGGACTTACCTTCAACCATCTCTGGAATATCCTGCTGTTCTTCTATTGGACACTCAGGCTCAACAGTGTCTTCCTGCAGTGGATCAGCATCTTCACTCCGGTCCTCATCTGCTGTCTCTGCTTTGTCCTCTTCTTCCTCTTCTTCATGAGACACTAGCTCATTGTCCATCACCGGTTCAGGAGATAAGCTTTGAAGTCCATTATCGTGGGTTTGAACATTGGATGTCCCATGATGGTTTTGCAGTTCTTGTGTTGCAGAGTGGAGTTGGGTTGTTTCGGGGACCATGCTCTGTTCTGCAGCGTTAGTTTGGAGATTGGACTGGTGCTGCTCGGTGATCGAGGCCGTGGCAGCTGCTAGCAGACGTGGGTTGTCGTAGAGAGTGGAGATGGCGCAGGTGATGCTCTGCTGGAGATCTCCATTCTTGCCCACACAATCCTCCTCGTCCGAAGAGAAGGAGGGCAAGGCTTCCAGGTTTCCGTTCAGCTCCTGGTCTAGCTGCCCACTGGGACTGGAGCTGCATGGGACCGCCTTGTCCTCCTCACTCGAGGTATGTTGGGAGGGAGCGGGTGAAGGGGCTGAGTCTAGGTTCAGCTCGCCTCGGCTCTCTGCTGTCTCTGGAGTTGACTGCTTGTTGTCCGTTTTGAGAAAGTCCAAGAAAGAGCCTACTACATCTGGCTTAAGATCAAAAGTTTTTTCATCATCCTACAAGAAAAACACAACTATTTCAAACCAGCTCGTTCAGAAGAAATGCAGAAGGCAACTATTACCTAAAGGTGTAACGTTTATTATAGTGAATTTCTTACTTTGCCTGGAATGTTTCACCGTATGACATTAAACTTATCAGTCTTGCACTTATTTTAAATCTCTAAATACCTATAAAAACATGCCTTCCTAATGGTTCTAGTTGATTTGTCGGCAAACTCCTAATGAAAAGGATGAATGGAGAGAGTGTGCTTGATGTTATGGCTTTTCCAGACTGTACTGTAGTGTAAACATGGTCGCCTCATCACAGATCTGATCTGCAACTTGGCCTGGTACCATCCAACATTCCAGGCAAAGCAATAAAATCTCCATGGAGTTGAGCAAGTGGCAAGCCCTCCACTAAGTTATGTAGAGCTCTTTCAAATAAATAAGCCATCGCTACACTGTAAATAAGAACTTACAAGACTTGGAAACTTGTCCACTGCAACCCAGCCATCACAGTTAAGTAAATCATAGTTTTCCTTATTCATTGCAACCTGTTGACACAAAAAGACACGTTATAGAGCTGGATTCAGTTTTCAACTTCAAGACAGAGATTTTGTGCACTCATTGTAGACGTTACCTCTGTGGACTCTGGCTGTAGCATGTGATCTTGCATCTGCTGTGGATCATTTCTGCTAAAGTCAGGCGTTGTGCTGGGTCCAGGACTAAGGCCCAGGAATGGAGCGGAAGTACCTAAACCATCAGACAGAGCCAGCTCAGGCCCCGGGAAGGACTCTGCTCTCAGGAGGGAGTCTGCCGTAGGAATGTTGGGGGACGAAAAGTCTAACTGTTAAAAAAACAAAAAACAAAAAAACATTTAAGAACATTTTAAGGTAAGAATGGCACATATCTTGGCAAATGGATCTAAGTATGTCTCCAATCTATATAAAAATATTGAAAAACACTCTTAAACATGTAACTATAAGTGTATTCTGTCAACTACACAAAAGTGTTTTAACAAACGTTTTGAAGTGAATAGTTTTGCCACTTGTCCAACTTTCATGATCTTTCAGCTTGTGCGATCATGCAAAATATGACTCACACCTTATAGTTTAATGGACTTATAATTTAATGGAACTAATAACAGATATTGTAGACAACAAGGGTGTGTTAGCATTAGTGTAGTTAGCTTTTTCCTTCAGACAGATATAAAGCAGTGGCATACAGAACCCTGTCATAACTGAAGACGCCTTTTGTATGAGTGGTGAAATGTATTCACGCCAAAACTTGTCCAGTGACTGAATTCTATTTTCTTTTGTGATGGATCTTACTTGGATGGCTGAGGAAATACACAGATAACTATAAATGTGTTGTGTAGTTTAACAAACGAAACAGGCATTACCTTGACTGTCTCCTCGGGTGGTTGTTGAAGTTGCTGATAGGGCTGCACTTGCTGTATGTGATGGTGTGTTTGCATGTAGGGCTGTGTCTGGGAGGGCTGTGAGGACATCTGCAGAGGGCTGGGTGCTGGGTGCTGTGAGGTCATCTGCAGAGGGCTGGGTGCTGGGTGCTGTGAGGTCATTTGCAGAGGGCTGGGTGCTGGGTGCTGTGAGGCCAGCTGCAGAGGACTCGGGGGTGGGGGCAGCAGTGGGGTGGGGCCTGGCTCATATCTGTGTTGAGACTGCATGACATACTGCGGGGGAACATATTGTTCACAATGATACGGCATGTTTGGCATCTTGTTGAAACCCTGAAGACTGTCATCTCTCTTTCCCCTGCCTCGACCTCGCCCCCGACCCCGACCTCTTCCTCTGCCTCCAGCCCCTCGAGTCTGACCGCGGAACACAGACGGTTCAGGCAGAGGGCGTATACGAGGGCGTCCTCGGGGTCGAGGAGGTCCTTCACGTTTTGGTTTGGTAGGTTTCCTGCCTCTTTTTCTGGGACCATCCATGCCCGGAGTTTGTGGAGGGGTTAGGGAGTTATAATTGGAGTAGCAAAAGTCCATATCCATCATTGGACTTGAACTATTCATAGACCCTCCCGCCCTGCGACAGCTGGAGACCAAGTCAGGGAGCACATCTGGAAAACGCCGACCTGTGAGGCGAATGTCAGCTGGAACATCGGCTTTATCCTCATCTTCAAACTCATACTCCTGCGCGTAGTGCTTCTTGGACTGCACCTGCGACTCCTGCCTATGTAACAGTGAAGGGAAACTGGTCTTCAGGAGTTTCTTAGGTTGGGGTGAGGAGTAAACAGGTGATGTCAGACCTGTAGCACTTGACCCCAGTGTGGCATTAAGGCTCTGGGACTGCATGAGACCGAGCTGGTCTGTATTCACTGAAGAGGGAGGGGCTGGAGTCTTTACGGACATGAAGTCAGAATAACTGTTGTCATTTTGTGTCAGGTTCTGTTGACAAAACTGCGCATAACGTTCTTCAGTCTGGTGACTAAACATGTCAAAACCCTGCTTAGCACTAGAGGCTTTCAGACTGCCATGCTCTTGTATCTGACCCTGGGAATGGCACTCCTGCTCAGGTAGGTAGGCACCAGAGTCTGCAGCGCAGCTGGTGTTGTGATCTGATGAACAGAATATGTCATCCATTGTTGGAAAGAAAGACTGATCTTCACTATGTACAAATGGTTCAGAAAAGCAGGCTGATGGGACAAAATGCTTGTCATTCCTGTCTGAAGCTATGCCCACACGCTGATCTAATCCAGGCTGTGGGAGGTGGCTGGGGGTATGCGTTCTCTGCTGCTGCTGGGGTTCCTGGAGGGCAGAAGGTTGGTTCAGATGGTGCAGATCTTGTTTGGAGCTGGGGTTCCACAGTGTTTGGGCTCCACTTCCTTGCTCCCTGCCATCCACTGTCATCCCAACCTCAGATCGGACCATCGCCCCCCCTGTGCCCCTGCTGTCGTAGAGAGGCAGGGACTGGTCCAGTAAGTCCTGAGCAGGCACTGGGTTGGGAGTGTACTGGGACTGATCTCTCTGCTGTACTCCGGGACTGTACTGGGACTCCACAGTCTGTGACGGGACATGCAGCTGCAGTTTGGATGACTGTGTATATGCCTCTAACTGGGCTCTGCTATGCACCGCACCCATCGCAGAGTTCTGCTTGTCTGGGAATGCTTTGAGAAGATCTGTCTTGGTATTTGTAGCTGGAGAAAGATCAGACTGCAGCATGCACGCTTGAGCTGAGAGGTCTGATGATGGCACAGACACCTCCCCATGGCTGGTTTGGTCTTTAGTGCTACTCAAGAACGGACCATGTGGATATGGTGCACAGGGACTACCCAGTGCAAAGTTCCCAAGAGAACCTAGGGTATGTGGTGCTGTGTCAGAGGATTGGTTGGTTCTGATGGGGGACTGTTTGGCCTCACTAATCCCTGTAGCAGATGACTTTGGCGTTCTATCGGGCGTGTTGCTCTGAAAGTCCATCTGTGGAGCAGTTGAAGGTTCATGACTTGCATAAGATTCTCCTCGTTCCTTTGGCAAGTTGGTGCCTAAGTACTGATGCTGAAAATCCTGCACAAGATGGGCACCGGAACTCTGATCTTGTAGCAAAGAATCAACACGTAATTCTTCACTGTTTTTAGGGTCAAATATTGAAGCACATTTCCCAGTTTGTGAATTGCCAGAGGAAAGGGCAGATTTAGGAGATGTTATTCCAGAATACATGTCAGCTTTTATGGCAGGTGACAATCTGCACTTTGGAATGTATGGACTACTGTTTCCATCTTGATTTGATTCCACACTCTCTGCCGAAGTCATGTCACCGCCTTGAGCTGTCAGTCCCGACAAAGGTCTGTTGGCTGAGGAGAATGTAGGACTTCCATATTCTGCACTGCTTGACCTTTTCAGAGAAACTAGGTCTAGACTTGAGTCACTAAATATTGAACTTCCAGGACCTCTGTTGAAGCCAAGATTCTGGGCAAGAGGAAGCCTGTAGCGTGGACTTGAGTAGGTCGGGAGTGTGGGCGTGTGTTGTTTCGGGGAGAATGCTTGGCTTTGGTACACAGGGGGACTCTGATTCATTTGACTGCGAGATTTAGGTGCACATGGGGAGCTGAGGGAGGACATAGAGGGCATCGGGCATTGGTTTGAAGGTTCAGACAAGGCCGTAGAGGACACTGCTGAAGAGTCCAGGACGCGTTGGTGAGATGTGGCAGATAGAGAGCTGCTGCTGCTGTGAGAGAATGAAGAGGCTGATGGCGGTGTGTGCTGGGGGTAGGACAAGAATGAAGAGGATTCCAAGGAGGAGTAGCCAGTTTCCTCAGAAGATACATAAGGAGACAAGTATGCCTGGGCATTCATCCTCAGTGAAGGCTTGACGTCTGAAAGGACGCCCTGCTGTTCGATTGCTCTTTGCCGGGGGTCTGGTGACTTGGCACAGGTGAGATACTGCTGCTGCTGGGGCATGGCTGTGGACTGGCCTGGTGGTATGCTTTGGTAGCGCTTCATCATGTTGTCTTGTGCCGAAATGTCCCTGTGCTGCGGAGTCTGAGAGTGGACGGGAGTGGAGGAGAATGATGAGGCGTTGTACAGTGGGTTGGACTGGCTGTGGAGCTGGGCTGACAGGAGGTCCACCCGCGGGGAGGCAAGGTGAGCTTTGGAAGGGACTTGGGGCTCTTGGGACCTCCTGAAAAGGGCATCTTGGGAGGACAGAACCTGACCAAAAGCTAAGCTGGAGGGTGTGGATTTCATGTGCAGGAGATAATCATGAGAGGACAACAGACCAGGGTTAAACGCAGATGAGTCCGGTAGGGAGAAGGAGTGAGTGAGGGGTCTTCCAGGGAAAGAGCCTGGGTGCTGATACGCAGGCAGAGCTGCCATGGAGGGTGAGTATCCAGAGCCAGAGTGTGTCCCTGAAAGAAAAAAACAAAAAAACAAAACATCATAATGTGTAATTAGCACTCCCAATTTGCAACTCTACAAGAATGTAAGACAAATATGGGCAGTGAACATTCATGAAGATGGATGGAAGATCTGCCATGACTGGGTATGATTAACTGTGTCGTCCAGTGGTTTAAGGTTACGCTTTACTGTATACACATAGGGACATTTGTCCTCTGTCTTTGACCCATCCCTCAGTGTTGATGGGGTAATCTGTCTGAAGCAAGACCCTACTCCAGTTCTCTAGATTAGCACTGTGTGTGTCTTACCAATCTAGGCGAGTTTCATTGTTGACAAAAGCGAGCGTTGCATGCTGGGAATTATTTTGGTCAGCAGCAAGAAACACTAATTCAACATGACGGACGGAGCGAGAAAGCACGTAAAGGGTATTGATCCCGGTTATTTATCCACTCTAACGGCAGAGGACCCAAGACCATTTGACCAGAAATTGGTCATAAGCATCAACGGACGACAAATCACCCTTTTCAACCCCGACAAAAGGTGGACCAAACCAAATTTCTGGTCAGAATCACCAACTACCTGGACAAATATTTACTTTGGCGATATCCACAATGACTTGGTGGAAACTCCTGGGCCATTCACAGCAGAAAAGAGGAAAACCTCCAAGAGTCTCGATGTGTTGTTGAACTTGTTGGAGTCCACGGTTTGTTAGGATCTTCTACGTTTGCTCTGCGGATGTTTGAAAGCCATTTAATTCGCTGTTAGCAGTTATTTTCACTCAAAACACGAAAAAGACATTTTCCTTCTTCCGTGCTTCTATTTGTGCATTCGAGAATGCAGCAGGAATTTACCATTATCGGGGAGAAATACGCGAGGTTACGCACTGTGTTTGAGCTATCGTGTTTCTAGCCTCCGACCAAAATATTTCCCAGCATGCAACGCGGGCTTTTAATAACAATGACGTCAGCTGAAACTCGCCTATAGTATTGACTCTAGCATCAAATGTAGCATTGAATGTAGCATCAAATATGGACAGCAAGTGTGGTAAGGCGGTAGTCAAATGTAGTGTAGCATGTAGCATCAAATGTAACACTGAATGTTGTGTGAAGTGTAACATCAAGTGTGGAGTTGGATGTAGTGATGAGTGAAGCTTGAGTGTAGAGCATCGGTCTTTTCATGGTCATTTCCTTATCCTTTTAACAAAGCTCAAAGAAATGTTCCTTTACTTAAATTAGTCCTTTAATTACCATTTTGCCAGAAAGGCCCTCCAAACTGGGACATGTGTGAGTCCATCGCTGACAGCCGATGGGACAGGGAGGCCTCTGGACCCGTGGACCTGCTGTCCAACAGCCCGGACACGCCTGGAAGAGCCACAAACACACTTCAACTAAGAGACAGGAAAATGAGCAGTGATGAAGTGGACTGTGTTTACTAAAGAGCGACGCAAGGAAGAGACTTTGGTGCTTAGACCCCGGCAGGTAGAGCTGTCAGTGATACAAGGGAGAGAATTTAATCGATTTGTTTGGGTCATTATAATAGGCCCTGAGCACAGCAGCATGCTAGCCTGCTCACTGTGTCTCAAACTTTCACTTTTATTACATTTAAAAAAACATAAAATAAACATCCTGTTGAAATTCAAATTAATTAAAATAAAGACTACCCAGTTATATTTACATATAGAATACTTCAGTTTGTGGTGCTATTTTAATATTGATTATGCCTCAAAATTAGCGTTAGCGTCAGCATTGAGACACAAACATCCCTTTCTAAACACAGATGTTTTCTCCAGTAAAGTATTCACTTTATTTATGCCTATGTCCACTGCCTTATCTTTAAATATTTTAAATTCTAGCACGATTGGCCAAAAACCTCATAGAGATGAAACTAGACAGGACGTAGTGACGCTAACAGTGAGGTAGCTGGGCGCTGTTGTGCACAGAGTCTATTTGCCGGGGTGGAGACACTGATGGTGTGGAAAAGGAGAAGATGGAAAGGATGAGGAGGTTTGATGGTTCTGCTGCTGTGGAGAAGGAAGAATAAACAAAGTGTAAGCAGTGTGACCAAAAATGGCTAAAGTCAAACCAAAAACTTTAGTCATTCAGTCAAGCCCCTCCTCCCCCCTCACTCTCCCCTTTAGTCCTCCAGACTCCCCACAGTCTCCCCTTTAGTCCTCCAGACCCCTCCCCTCCTCCCTCACTCTGCCCTTTAGTCCTCCAGACCCCTCCCCTCCTCCCCCTCACTCTCCCCTTTAGTCCTCCAGACCCAGCCCCTCCTCCCCCTCACTCTCCCCTTTAGACCCCCAGACTCCCCCAGTCTCCCCTTTAGTCCTCCAGACCCCACTCCCCTCACTCTCCCCTTTAGTCCTCCAGACCCTGCCCCTCCTCCCCCTCACTCTCCCCTTTAGTCCTGCAGACTCCCCCCTCTCTCCGCTTTAGTCCTCCAGACCCCACTCCCCTCACTCTCCCTTTAGTCCTCCAGACCCCACTCCCCTCACTCTCCCTTTAGTCCTCCAGACCCCACTCCCCTCACTCTCCCTTTAGTCCTCCAGACCCCACTCCCCTCACTCTCCCTTTAGTCCTCCAGGTGTTGCTCAGTTTCGCGGCTCTGTTTGAAAAGTGGTTGTGGGCCGAGTTCAGACGTAAAAATAATCACAGAAAGGAGCATTGGTTTTGTCTTATTACCATTTCACTAGGAGGTGAAGTGAGGTGTGATGGATAGTTTATTCAATGGTGAGGAGGAGGAGGAGGAGGAGGAGGAGGAGATGAAGAGGCAGAGAAAGGTGATGGTTCTGCGGAGGAGGAGGAGGAGGAGGACATGGGTGGAGAAGGGGAGCGAGAGTGCACTTTTGAAAGGGAACAGCCACGAGCAATGCATTAACACAGCACCAGAGTAAGGCCCGCGGGTGTGGAGGTGTGGAGGGGCCCGTGGGTGTGGAGGGGCCCGTGGGTGTGGAAGTGTGTGGTACCTAGGGGGCGCCCTGCTGGAGTCCAGGCCGTCCCGTGCCCTCTGCGTCCCAGCTGAGGAGCGCTGAAGCCGGGGCCCTCCGAGTCTGGGTACGAGGGGCTCATCCCATACATGAGGCTAACACACAAAGCACACAGACACAGGATGGAATACTTACACCTTAACATTTACACTGAACTATATTATTTACTTTTACAGTATTTATATTATTTACATTGGACTATTAAAGCTTCTGTATTACACAAAAGGGACTGTGCACTTTAAGCCCTGTTAGAATGCTGGTACCTTCTCCAAAACATACAGGACTTGTGTTTTGTTTCATTTCATATACGTAAGGCTGGATTTATTTATTATTATTGGGCTGGATGCATCTCCACAGCTCAAAATGCTCTGTTCCAAATTGTGATGTCATGCAGTGGTAGTTTTCAAATTAACAGAAGTTACTGCCTTTTAGTTCAGTTGAGATTAGACTTAGACTTAGACAAACTTTATTGAACAAGTGTATTATTATTAAACTTTATCCACAAGGGAAATGACTTGGACACTGCAGCTCACTCCTCACATCATAATATCGTAAACAATAACAAACAGCCAAAACATATCAAAATGCATACTAAAACAATCTAAATAATTACCAATAAAAAAGCAAGAGACAGGAGTCAAAAAAGGCATAATTATAGAACTGTATAGGAGATTGGCAATTCCAGGGCTTAAATCATCCAAATGATTCTAGTGAAATTGTATGGAGTTTAAAAACACAGTGGAGCACTTCCTGTATTACCACATGACATCACAAGGTGGAACGGTGTTTTCAGTTTGAGAGAAGAATTCAGCCTAAATCTCCAGGAATTGTGTGAATGAAACAAAACACAGCTCCAGTTGTGTTTGTGATGAGGAAACTACATGAGAACAGATCAGAAAATAAAGTCATATGGGATCTTTAAAGGCACAATATGTAACTTTTCTGCTGGATCTGCTTGTCTCCATGGTGATGTCATTGCTAGAGGTTCTACTGTTTAGTAGTAAACCTAAATCTATGTTGCAGTTATTTGTGTATTTATATGTTTATTGTTGCTTAAAGAGAGTGTATGTAACCTGTGCTCTTCCTAGAACCTCACACTTGAGTCTGTGTCAGAGTCTTAATCTACAGGACACATCCAAGTTGTCTCATTCTTAGACAGAACATGTCTCATGTGAAGCTCAGAACCTCCAGAGTTCCCTCCCTGAGCTGCAGAGGCTGCACTAGCACTGATTCATGTCTGGTGCAGGAGCTGAGGTTTAAGGAGCGACCATTAGGATCAGAGAGAGACATTTTAGGTTTAAACCAGCTGGATTTCAGTGTAAAACTGGTCCATCATGTCCAATGTTTTTGTCATTAAGAATAAAGCAGCATTACAGTTGTTATTCATGAAAGTTACATTTGTAACATATTTACCTTGATCATATGTGGACACACAACTGGGTCATATTTATAGAACATATCATAAAAATCTTTAATACAGTTCCTTTAAAGTCCTTGAAAAGCATGGTAACTGGTCCTGGTGACGTCACTTGTTGTCTCCATGGGGATAGACACTGTGGAACATTCCAGGAAAAGCAACAACATCTCCATGGAGACAAGCAGAAAAATGACATAGTGCTCCTTTAAGGTGTATTTCCTCACCTTTGTGAGCTCTCACCTGTCTGCCATCATCAGCCAATCACAGCCTGTCACCTTCGCCTCTTAACCAATCATCTCAAGACATGAATAGCCAGTTCTTTTCTTTCTCTGACACGTACAACAATATTTACAACGTCATTCTACGATCATGTTCTGCAAAGTTTTTCAGGAGAACAAACCCTAAACTCAAGGTTAAACGTGCTCACACAGAGGTCACGTCCACACACAGTGTGTTCAGAAGACACGTGATGTCCCCAAGTGCACTGTCCATCCTCTTCTCCTCTATAGACTACATCTTCATCTCCTCTATAGACTACATCTTCATCTACATCTTCATCTCCTCTATAGACTACATCTTCATCTACATCTTCATCTCCTCTATAGACTACATCTTCATCTTCTCTATAGACTACATCTTCATCTTCTCTATAGACTACATCTTCATCTTCTCTATAGACTACATCTTCATCTTCTCTATAGACTACATCTTCATCTCCTCTGTAGACTACATCTTCATCTTCTCTATAGACTATATCTTCATCTCCTCTATAGACTACATCTTCATCTACATCTTCATCTTTTCTACAGACTACATCTTCATCTACATCTTCATCTTTTCTACAGACTACATCTTCATCTACATCTTCATCTTTCATCTACAGACTACATCTTCATCTACATCTTCATCTTTTCTACAGACTACATCTTCATCTACATCTTCATCTACATCTTCATCTTTTCTACAGACTACATCTTCATCTACATCTTCATCTCCTCTGTAGTCTACATGTACAATCAGGTGATCTGAGAGGGAGCTTGGGGCTCATCATGTTGGTCTTGGTTTAGTTGAGTCTTAGACTTGGTCTCAGACCTGGTTTAGAGTGAGTCTAGTCCTGGTTTGGACATTTTGGTTGAATCCAGGTTTAGGTTAGTCCTCGTTTAGACCTGGTTAAGACTGAGAATCCAGATGATGTGCTGAGCTGCACGGTTTAGTATTTTCATAGTAACAGCGGGAGCACGGACAGGAGGTGGTGCGTAAAGCCATATTTGGGTGCGTGCGCCACAGCTAACCATAGTAACCTATAGTTTACTATGGCTACGTGTACGCAGCATCTGGATGGCGGCGTCACAAATAGGACAGGGCCACTCGGCTGGTGCGTGTCCTGCGTGTCACAGAAATGCGCTGCACATTCTTGGCTGTTCATTGAATCAATTATGTTTCACGCGTGACAGAACGTGATAGGCTGCGGAGCGGAGCGTCTGTGTCCGCGCGGATGTGGACCTGAAGGAAACAGATGCTGTTGTCAAGGCGACGGCAGGAGTGATGCTGATGAGGAGCTAGCCTTAGCTCGGCTCATTCCAGCACACAGCCGCACAGAAGAGCACAGAAGAGCACAGAAGAGCACAGAGCAGCACGACGGGAGCAGGCAGCGGCTCCAGCGGCTTCTATTGTCTGCCTGCCCCGCTCGTCAGTCTAAACATGAGCGGAGCATCAGAGCTCTGCAGCCGTGATAAGGCGCACACGTCCGCATACAGCACCGGGCAGCCGCGGACACGGCTCCGTGATACAGCCGTGGACACGGCTCCGTGAAACTGCGGCTCTCTCACATCCTCTCTCCGGACACACAGCTGCTGTGAGCCTGACCTGAGAACACATGCACCCGTATCCCCCAGCCCTCCATTTTCCTGTCAGAGCGCACAGTCCACAGTGAATCCCCCACAGCTGATAGACTGTCCTGATACCTGCCACGGCGCCGTGCTCCCCCGCGCACACGACACGGCACAGCTGTATGTCAGAGGACACGCTACTCACGGCTCTGGCCCCGTCCCTCCCCGACAGAGCGCACGGGAGCAGCGGGCTCTGTGAGCGCAGACAGCGGACAGTCGTGCAGCCCGAGCAGCGGCGCAGCGACAACCCACACCTCTGCCTTTGTTCTGCTCCGTACGCACCTGGTTCTGGCGGACCTGTCGTACGTCCATGCTGTCCCGACCCCAGACACCGAGTCTCCGAAGGCTGCCGCGGAGAAGAGCCTCTCCATGGGCAGGCAGGGCTGGTGGAGGAGGGCAGACTGCGGGGGACGGGGTGGGGGTCTCCAGTTCGTCTGAATATTTCTCCGTTTGACGAGCCGTGCACCGCGCGCGCGTTTGTGTGCGTGAGAGAGAGAAGAGGAGAGAGAGAGAGATGGAGGGGGGGGTCTGCCCGCCTCTCCTCTCCGTCACACTCTATTGTCTCTCGGTGCCTTTAAATGATATTTAAATCCAGCGCCTTCCGTCCCACATCAGGAGAATTTGGGCACATTCTGTTCAGACGCCATTAGTGTGAACAGAGGATCCCGCGCGCTCCAGCTCACACACGCACCAGCCTGTGCGCGTGCGGGGACGCTCCACATGCACACGTGCGCGTGCAGGTGACGCGCTCAGCACATCCACATTCACATGTATGTGTGTCTACGCACATGCGCGTGCGTGCGCGCGTGTGCGTCTCTGAGGCACAGGGAGAGGCGCTTTCACACACACTCTGTCTGTTGTGTGTGTGCACGGACCTGGTCGAGGCACAGGTCACATCACGTGTACGCGCTCATCATCTTCATCTTCATCACAACAAACAGCCTGAGAGCGGAGACAGTGGACACAAATGGACTTTATTTGACACACGTGACAGTGACACGCGCAGGACATAGGAACACCAGAGGCGGGAGTAGAACCCACACCTCTGCCACAAGAAACTCCAATAAATAGTCGTTCAGCAGCAGCAGCAGCCTGCAGGCGGCGCTCTGACGCTCCAGCACGTCTCTAGCTGCCCCCCTCTGCTCCTGCGTCCTGCCCCAGCTCCGACGGCGCCCCCCTGTGGTGAAAACACGGTCAGTGCACGTTGTATAAGCACAAATATTAAATTCACAGATTAAATTCACTCTTTGTATTTGTGTCTTTTACATAAATGAACATGGGGAAGCTTTTCTCTTTTACCTCTGGTTTGTGTTTATGGAAAATCACTGAGTTTTTCTGAGGCCTAATGATGTATCTGTGTGTGCACAGTCACCAGCAGAGGGCGCAACGCCTCAGCTGCCGCTGCAGTGACAGCCAAAGCAGTTTAAATGAGGTTTAGAGCAGCTGCTCAGGTCAGAGCTGATTCTGTGTGACTGGAGCAGTGACATCATCAGACTGTGACGTGCTGTGGGCTTCACAACATGACAGAACATTCTGGAGAAGCAGCACAGCTGCTCGGAGCTGTGGGGAGGGAGACAGGCTCAGTGGAAGAGCATGTGTCTGTGTAAACTCCCTCCACTGTAGGGAGTATTATTCCTACAGTGGAGGCCTGGTCAGAGGAGTGCCCATGTACTTTTACTTGAGCAGTAGTTTCCCCAACACATTTCTTGGACCACTACTTTATACTACTTGAGTACTATTATTTCAAAGTAACAAGAGCACAGTGTCACTTCAAGGAGCTGCAGTGTGTGTACAGGATGTAGCCTGATATCTTACACTTTAAAGTTTGAGACCAGCACCTCAACCTGCAGACACGACAGACACAAGAACCTGCACCAGACACTCCCTGAGCTGCAGAGGCTGCACTAGCACTGACTCATGACAGGTGCAGGGCAGGGGTGTAGGGAGTGACCGTTCAGGTCAGAGACATTTTAGGTTTAAATTTCAGTATTAAAACTGGCAACTCAAAGGAGAGACTCACGTGAGGCTCGTTCTGTTTTCTTTAAACTAAAATATTCTAAAAGAAACAACAGGTTCATCGTGTCCAGTGTGTTTGTGATGAAGAATAAATGAGTCGTACAACAAGAGAAAAAGTTCTGTTTGCTGTGAACATGTTGGAGACACAGACAGGTCATGTTTATGACATTTCTAAAATGATCTGATCTTATACACATTTCTGTTAAAGAAGCCTGTGTGTTTTCAGTATGACACTCACCCGGAGTACGGGGGAGGGGGCGCGTCGTGCTGCCCACTCCTGGTCAGAGCCTCGTTGTAGCTGGGTAAGCCTGGCACCGTGACCCCCGCCAGGGGCACCATCTCTGCACCTGGACGCCCGTCTCCAGCCAACCTCACCGGAGCTCTGGGGTCAGAGGTAGGAGAGGGGTCAGAGAGAGGGACAGAGAGAGGGGACAGAGAGAGGGGACAGAGAGAGGACAGGGGTCAGAGAGAGGAGAGGCAGTTACTCGATTACTCCAAAAAAACAAGATTCAATTAAATGAATGATGAGAGAAGAGCGTACAGTGTAAGGAGGTGAAAAGCCCACACAAGCTCATGATCTGATGTAAAGTCTCCTTAAAGAATGTCAGTGAAATATATAGAGCTTCTAAAAACTGTTCTCATTCAAAATAAATAAATACAAACAACAACTCTCAAATGTAAACATCAAATACAAAAATGCTGAAGCTGATCTTGCATGCGTGTGTGTGCGCGCGTGTGTGTGTGTTTGTGTGTGTGTGTGTGGGGGGCTCTTACTGTCCTCGTCCGGTCTTGTGACGGGCCTTGTAGCAGTACACTCCCAGGACGGTGGCGATCACCGCAGTGACCAAAAGAGCCATGATCCCTGCCACCAGACCTGACACGTCCACTTTAGGAGCATAACCTGCACAGAACACACACACACACACACACACACACACACACACACACACACACCCACACACACACACACACAAACACACAAAGAAGTGAAGTGTGAACGGGGCGCAGAGGAACAGAACACTGTAGCAGTAATATCACTTACATTTGTGTTCAAACCAGCTCCCTGCTCCCAGACAAATGCAAACCCATACAGACCTGTGCTGTGATGTGGGTGAAGTGTCTTGCTCAGGGACACGATCACACTATGTGTTCAAATTGTATTCGAACCCCTTCTCTTACCAGATAAACACAGATTTACATAAACACTGGCAACTTAAATGAGAGACACATAAAGCTCATTCTGCTTTCTGATTGGATGATCATCTAAACCAAAACCTCAAATGAAAACAGAAACAGAAGCAGAAACAGAAGTAGAACTGTGCTCCATCATGTCCAGTGTTTGTGAAGAAGAATAAATCAACATTAGAGTTGTTATCAGTGAAATGTGTATTTGAGTTGAACATGTTGACCTCACATCTGGAGACACAGACAGGTCATGTTTGTGAAATTTAAAATCTGAATCTTTCTCACAGTTCCTTAAATAACAGATGAACAAGTGTTTATTTGAAATAAATGAATATACTTTTCATGTTGGCGCTGTCGGTGATTTTCACATTACATTTTCACGAGTTCATGTTCAACAGTTTGCACAGCTCCAAAGTTCTTCCTCTCTCACCTTGAACATTCAGAGCGTCCTAATGCTTCACCATGATGACTTTATAAGAGCTTTACACAGCAGACTTTAACTAGCATACTAACCACACAGTTCTGTTTATCATCAAATGCAAATAGAATGCAGTGGACTTATTCTGACCTCACGAGCCACATCTATGATTTATCTGCACTGGGGCTAGACGTGTGCAGCTCACATACAGAGAACAAAAATCAGGAAGAGGATCTTTAAATGAACTAAACAGGTCCAGTACAAATAAGTGTCTGTTTTTGAATTTAAAGGCACACTATGAAACTTTTCTGGTGGAATGTCCACCGCCTGCTTGTCTCCATGGAGATGTTATTGCATTACCTTGAATGTTCCACAGTGTGGCACTAAACTTATCAACTTTACATTTTCAGTATTGATTTCTAAACGAATATCTTGGACAACATGAGTTGTTACTGTGAGCGGACCCGCCTCTCCACAGATCTGACCTGTAACTTTCTGGCCTGGTGTTGACACCTGCTTGTCTCCACAGAGATGTTTTCCATTTGCCTTAAATGTTCCACAGTGTTCCACATACAGTATCTGTCTCCATGGAAACAGGCAGGTGACAGGACCAGGTCCAGTTACAGATCAGGCCTTTTCAAGACAGGAGCAATAAAACACATTAATGCCACAGTGTGTAACATTCCAGGCGTGGCAATAACACCTTCATGACACAAGCAGCCGCAGATGTGTCCTCGTGTCCTCAAACCCCGTCCAGAGCGTCTCACCTGCAGCGTACGTCTTCCAGAAGAGCTCCTGAAACAAGACAAACAAACAAACACTTACACTTCTATTAAAACTATCACCTAGTTCTGTAACAAAAGACAATGGACACACGGGGACAAGAGGACGGGAGGACATGTGACACACATGGACGAGAGGACGAGAGGACGTCTGACACACAGGGACAGGAGGATGGGAGGACGTCTGACACACAGAGACGAGGACGAGAGGACATCTGACACACAGGGACGAGAGGACAGGAGGACGTCTGACACACGGACAGGAGGACGTCTGACACACAGGGACAGGAGGACATCTGACACACAGGGACGAGAGGACAGGAGGACGTCTGACACAGAGGGACAGGAGGACGGGAGGACGTCTGACACACAGGGACGAGGATGAGGACGAGAGGACGTCTGACACACAGGGACAGGAGGACGGGAGGACGTCTGACACACAGGGACAGGAGGACAGGAGGACGAGAGAACAGGAGGATGGGGGACATGTACCGTCTGGGTGGGGTCCTCGAAGACCTCGCGCGCTTCCTCATAGCTGCACACTTCTTCCATACACTCTCGCTCCAGGTTCCCCTGCACCACCAGCTCAAAGTCCCAGCTGTTGTAGAGCAGAGAGCGAGACAGGAACGAACTGGCCTCTGCAGCGGTCAGGGTCAACTCACCAGGGTCTGCTGCGCACACACACACACACACACACACACACACGCACACACACGTAGCAGGAGAGTTTAAAGTTCCGTTCTATTTTCTGATCTGTTCTAAAGTCGTTTCCTCGTCTCACACACACCTGGAGTTGTGTTTTGTTTCCTTCACATGTTCCCTCACACAAACCCTGCACATTTAGCACGAGTTCTTCTCTCAAACTGAAAACACTCTATTCCACACTGTGATGTCATGTGGTGATACAGGAAGTGCTCCACTCTGTTTTGAAACTCCACACAATTTCACTAGAATCACTCGGATCATTTCAGCTCTGGAATTTCCAATCTCTAAACAACAGAATGTAGATGGAGCTGTGAACTTAAAAACTGCCACCTAATGACATCACAAGTTGGAGCGGAGCATTATGAGTTTTACAGATGTAGAGTTACTCAAACATGAGTGAATGAAACAACACACAACTCCAGGTGTGTGTTCGTGAGGAGGAAACTCCAGTAGAACTTGACTTAAATCTCACTAAAGTCCGTTTTGTGGAGTAGGACTTTTAGAGTGAGTCAGATGAAACCCACGCGGAGATCCGGGGACAGGTTTTTCAGGACTGGACTGTGCGCATCACTGATCTGCTCTTATCTAAACTCAACAACTACACCGTCTGATGGCGAAACACGCGCACACGCACGCACTCAGGTAATTCATCTGTCACTAAACAGTTGCGCCAAACGGTTTATTTAATCCCTGCCACAGGCAGGGCAGGGGCAGGGCTGGGGCAGAGGCAGGGCAGGGGCAGGGCAGGGGCAGAGGCTGTACCTGGAGCGTGTCTTTGGAGCACCGAGCACCGGGCGCAGTGCAACAGGCCCAGCGCGGTCCACAGCAGCCCCGCCGCGAGGGCGCGCACTGCGGGAGCACAGAGGAGAAGAGCAGCTCACTTCACCGTTTATCAACAATCATATGAAAGAAAAAAAAACAAACTTACTGTCTGTCCTGACTCCCGTCACACTGACGCTCTCACACGTACGCGCTCACTGAACACCGTCACGAGCGCACACGGATCGACATGGCTGGAGTGAGTGTTGAGTGTAAAGTGTGGAGTGTTTTTGTGGAGCTGCTTCCGCGCACTCACCCGCACACAGACCTGTTGGACCACATACCTGCGCAGGTACACCTGCGCCGTGCACGAGCCCAGAAACTACTGTCATCTACTACAGCCGTGTGTGCGCGCATGAATATGTGTGTCATACCACAGCCCTGCCCGTGTGTGTGCGTGTGTCATATTACTACAACCCTGTGTGCGCGTGTGTGCGCTGGGCCGGTCTGGTTGGACGGGTGTGTGTGTGTCTCTGAGCTGCGCCTCTAAACACACATTGCTCTACAGCGCAGAGCGCCCCCACCTGGTTTCTGTCTTTTTTATTTGTTTTTTTTCCTGGTTTCTGTCTCACTCACAGCAGACGCGCGGTGGGCGGGGCCTCCTCTGGGCCTGACAGCGGCTCACGTGACCAGAAGAAAATACACCATTAAATCACACCAGTGTCTTCATTGTATTTTTTTAATTGTATTTTTTATTTTATTTATTTTTATTATATAAATTATATTATATTATATTATATGACCCTGTCCCTACTGACCTGGTGTGTGTCAGTTTGTGTCAGTATGTGTGTGCGTGTGTGTGTGCTTGTGTCAGTGCGTATGTGGTGGTGTTCAGAGGTGGACACAGAGTTAGAAGAGCGTCTGAGTTTATTGAGTGACAAACAGGTGTCACGTGACATAAATAAAGAGCATGTAAAACAGCAGGTCATACAAAGGTCATTTGATGTACATATATGTCATATACATAACTCTGTCATTTACACAGGAGTCATACACGTGCACGTTTCTCCAGCCCAGAGACACGACACAAACAGCAGGCACAGGGCAGCAGGGGCAGTCAGGAGCTCAGCACGAAAAACAAGGACCTAGATTCAGGTTTGGTGTATTATTATATTGATATATTTCAACGTAACAATAATAATATCTAGTGAAAAACAAAGACTTCTGCAGTGCACTATTGAAAAGCACATGTGCTCACAGCGGTCTGGTCCATGTTCACACGTGTCCCTGGTCTCATAGAGCACTAGAGCATTCGTCTGTCAGGTTCAAACAGATCATGTTGAAGCTGGATGGAGGACAGAGGGCATTAGAAGTATAAAGGCTGGAACAGAGCGACAACAGCGGACCTCAAACCATAAACCAGCTTTTAATACAACTGAGTTATTTAACAGCAAAATGTACAAGTCCATTTTCACTCTGTCCTCCATCTCATTTCTCATCAAGTCAGAGCTGCACAATTTTGGCAAAAAAACCCAAAAAAACAGAAATGTAATTTTTCTGTATTACTATTGCGATGAATTTAGTGATATATTACTGCACATTGTACTTTCATGTTTGTAGAGATTTTTCGATCCATGGCTTTTCATAATGATACAAAATGAGGACAGTTGGAAAAGTAATGAACTTGCCTGTGAGGAAAGACTGACAGATATGAGTCTGATCATCACTCTTTCCATCGCTCCTGGAGCCAGACTCAAACATGACCATCAGACGACCAGTGAAACCAGGAGCTCACTGATCACCATCATCTACAAACAAAAGCACACGTCTCTCCCCTCAGGTGAACAGAGGGCACTGCTTCTTTGACTCTAAAGAAATTCACCATGTTTTGAGTCACTCTGACATTTTTCTCTTTTCTTTTTTCCTCGTGAGCAGACACATTTGTTTTGATACACACGGACCATGTATCTCCCTGATTGGCTCATCCACCTGTCAATCACACTCACCAGAACCCTGCAGAGTCACCTGTGACCAGACTCACATCTACACAAAGTACTGAAACAAGTGTGTGTTCTGGATCCCACACAACATATTGATATTTGCGCTGAGGGTGTGCTACATGTATGTCTATGGTGAACAAAACACACACTTCTGCAAACACTGTTAACCCTCTCAGGCTCAAATTAAATTTTAGTAACAGGAAAAAGTCTGATATTTGGGGAAAATGATCATATGGGGTAGTAATATACAATTCTGACTTTTTTTTTTTAGAGAGACCTTCACATCCAATGTGTTCTGGGATGTTGCAGATTTGCATCATTGGTCCAGTGTGGTAAATTAACACTGAAGACTGAAAATGATATGAACGCTAACTTTATGTGTAAACCCCTTTTCATAACAATGAAAACAAAAGCACAGTGTATTAGTGCTTTACAGTGGCAGAACAACATCACTTTTTCGTGTGGTTCTCCAAGAAACAATTTTTATCCTTTGTAAACAACAAAAGTACTTTGCACTTCTGGCCGTTTGCGTGTAGTCATTCTTGCACAGTCTGCATGATCCACATTTATCAGCATGGATGGGAGAAAAGGCTCCTGAGTAAAAAAAAAGCTCATAAAATATGGATTTGGAGTAAGTAGGTAATTAGCATTTAGCTGTTGCAAATCTGCAACGCCTGCCTGCAGAGGGTTAAAAAAGTTTTAAGATCATATGAAAACTCAAGACAAAATTCAAAATGGATTTAAAGAGCACATTTTCTGGAGCTTGTATGTGTGAGGGACTTGTAGCTGCTGTGGTTCCAGATAAACCAGCTCTTTCTGTCACAATATAGTCACAATAAATCTATTATAACGTAACTTGAGTAACAGCTTCAGACAGAGCAGTGCCTACAGTTAGCATCACACCCCCAGGTAATATTGATGACATCAGATGCAAAGTATCATTTGAAGAAGTGTGTATTCTGGATTATTAACAATTCCAGACTAAATATTGTATCTTGTGAATGCCCCCCTCCCTTCTCATGTCGACGTCACCGGAGCCTTTGGGATTTTTAAACGTTGCAGAAAGTTCAAGTTCTGACTCGATTGTGATGTTTGGTGCAGCCTTACATCACAGGAACACAATAAATAAATAAATAAATAGAAGTCTCAGTTGTGGTAGAATGTTCTAGCAGCTGTAGGGCAGAGCGGGCTGGCCCATGCGCACAGGGGCCGCCAGCAGGACCCTCTCCCCCCAAGAGAGCAGCCGGTTCAGGGTCAGGCTTAGGGGGGACAGCAGCGCCTCCTTGGGCTCGCCCCTGGGACACCTCTGGACCTGCTGCGTGCGCTGGGGCCCCCTCTCTGCAGGGGAGGGGGGGCCCGTGCCGACACCGGGGGGCCCCTGGGTTACGGGGGTGAGGGACAGAGTCAGGCTTTGGCGTTTTTCCCGTAGACTTTTCCGGCATAAGTCCTGGTTGTGTCCGCGCAGGTTGAGGCTGAGGGATTTGGGCAGTCTGTGGGTGGAGGGGGGTCCCGTGGGTACTGCTTCTGCTGTTGTGGGTGGCTGGTCCCTGTGGTGTTCGGGGGGGGCTTGGGTGCCGGCGGTGGGTGCTGAAGGCGCCGGGTCCGTGGCCTCTTCGGGGGCCGGGCACAGTGGGGTCCCCAGCTTCAGGGTGTTCTGGAAGTGCTGCAGCTGACCCAGGAAGTTCAGGTTGGGTGAGATGGAGGGTCTGCGCTCCTTCACAAACCTGTCAACATACAAATAAACAAAAAAAAAACAACAACATAGAGTTAAAGGTGCACATTATAACTTTTCTGGTAAAGGGTCTGCCTCATGTTTGTCCAGTATTGTCACGATACAAACATTTCAGACATGATTTTGATACTAAACAATAGACTCTAGGGGGTGTAACAATAACTGAAAATTGCAATATCGTATCCTCAAAGTTCTCTCAATCATATCGTGGACCATCACAATATATCGAATTACAAGTCTCTTTGCTTAAATGAAGAGTTATGGTGTAAAAGACAGAGGGAACTACACAGACCATGATCCTTTGCTCCATTTCAGTGCAGACAACAAGAAGAAATAACAGTTCTAACACTTTTAAAGGGCCCATCTCATGCAAAATAAACTTTTCAGAGCTTTCTACCTTCTCAGAGTGATGTGTGGGCCTTGGATTTGTCGCCAAAGTGTTTTTTTTTTAATTGACTTAGCGTTTTTTTAAAGAAATTGCAGCGTATTTCTGTCTCCCTCCCACGTGACAACGAACTAAAGCTGCTACAATGATGACACATCTAAAGGCACTACGCACCCGCCCCCCTCCCCCCCTCCACCGCCTCCGCCCCGCCAATCAGTAATGTTCAGCTGATGTGGACGCGGTGCTTGAACTTCGTGCTCCTCAAAGTCCTCGTCCGATTCCGGGTTCAACACATGCGGCTGAACGCGCTGTATCTCCATGATGAATAAAAGTTTATTCCTGCCGCTATCAGGGCGCACGCCTGTCTCCCCCTCCCTCCCTGAGATGGGCGGAGGAAGGGCGGCTCACTCAGAGTCTACGTCACGTTTGGAGGGCGGAGCCTGTGCTTTCTCAGGACGGGCGGGAGGAGGAGCAATAGTCCGTCTTTCATAGTTCCTGGTCTGTGACTGTCTCCAAGAAATCAGTAAGATTTCAGAACTATTGTGTAATGGATGTTCCAAAACTCAAACTGTGCTTGTTTATGTGCAGAAGATACAATGTGAAAAAAATTATTTTGCATCAGATGGGACCTTTAAGTCTTAGTTCTTTGGATTAAGTCTTGTCACTGCATTTTAAGAAGAAAAAGTAGCATATTAACAAACAAAATATCGCAATAAATATCGTTCCGTGAGATGTATATCGTGAAAATATCATACAGAGAGATTTGGATATCATTACATCCCTAATCATGAGCCTCCTCACGATATCATGAGCTTTTCCACGATATCACAATAAATATCGTACTGTGAGGTTCATACCCTGAAGATATTGTATCATGAGACTTGGGGATCGTTACAACTCTGAAAGACTCAATACTGATTCTGATTCCACAATGATGATAGTAATAAAAAAGAAAAACTTATGGCATTGCTTTTCCTACAATGTTCCATAGTACGGCATAAAACTCATCTATCTCCATGGAGACAAACAAATGACAACACCAGCTTGAGCCACAAGTCTAGAGTCAACAGAATGCACTGTCTTTATTGACTTGGTTTAACAATAAAAACTGCTGTAACTGGATGAAAGCAAGATACACAAGTTAAATGCAATATTGTGGAACATTTCAGAGCAAAGAAAGTAAATCTCCATGGAGACAAAATGTGGTGGACCCTCTGTCATAAAAGTGACATAGTGGCTTTACAGTGCCATCCCTCTAGTTCCTACAATGAAGCAACTATACTCTGTGCGCAGACGACCTTTAAATCCATACATGACAAATCCAAAAACAACTTGCCAAAAGCTAGTACCAAACAAAATGTTAAAGGTACATTGTGTAACTTTTCTGGTGGAGGATCTGCCAAATGCTTGTCTCCATGCAGATGTTATTGCTTTGTCTGAAATATTTCACAGTATGGCATTAAAGCTTTCTATCGTCATAGAAATCAAACCATACCATGTTCCAGGTCAGATCTGTCAAGAGGCGACCCCGCTCACAGTCACAATGTCTGTTTTTCTAAGATTTTGAGCTTTAAAACCACCTGTAATTGAATAAATATAAAGTTGAGCTGTTTAAAGTCATACTGTGGAACATTCCAGGCAGAGCAATGACATCTCCATAGAAACAAGCAGGTGATGGAGCTCCTACTAAAAGTGACATCGTGCATCTTTAATTTGTTAATAACCAAATACAAGTCAAATCGAATAAACACTGCATGTCTTCCCGTCAGCCAATCACAGCCAACCACCATCTGCCTCTTAACCAATCAACTCTCAGCATATTCAGACGTCAGTGTAAATCTGCTCTGCTCTCTCTCCGCCGCAGCAGCAGAAGCAGTAGCCCCCCTCAGCCTCTCCACTCCCTCGTCTTCACCGCCTCTGTGCTGTAATGTTCTGTAGTGTTCTGTAGTGCTCTGTTCTGTAGTGTTCTGTAGTGTTCTGTAGTGTTCTGTAGTGTTCTGTAGTGTTCTGTAGTGTTCTGTATGCTCTGTAGTGCTCTGTAGTGCTCTGTAGTGTTCTGTAGTGCTCTGTAGTGTTCTGTAGTGTTCTGTAGTGTTCTGTAGTGTTCTGTAGTGCTGTAGTGTTCTGTATTCTGTAGTGCTGTAGTGTTCTGTAGTGTTCTGTAGTGTTCTGTAGTGTTCTGTAGTGTTCTGTAGTGTTCTGTAAGTGCTCTGTAGTGTTCTCTGTAGTGTTCTGTAGTGTTCTGTAGTGCTCTGTAGTGCTCTGTAGTGTTCTGTGATGCTCTGTAGTGTTCTGTAGTGTTCTGTAGTGTTCTGTATGTAGTGTTCTGTAGTGTTCTGTAGTGTTCTGTAGTGTTCTGTAGTGTTCTGTAGTGTTCTGTAGTGTTCTGTATCTGTGATGCTCTGTAGTGTTCTGTAGTGTTCTGTAGTGTAGTGTTCTGTAGTGTTCTGTAGTGTTCTGTAGTGTTCTGTAGTGTTCTGTAGTGTTCTGTAGTGTTCTGTAGTGTTCTGTAGTGTTCTGTAGTGTTCTGTAGTGTGTGATGCTCTGTAGTGTTCTGTAGTGTTCTGTAGTGTTCTGTATCTGTCTGTAGTGCTCTGTAGTGTGCTCTGTAGTGCGTTCTGTAGTGTTCTGTAGTGTTCTGTAGTGTTCTGTAGTTCTGTATCTGTGTTCTCTGTAGTGTTCTGTATCTGTGTTCTGTAGTGTTCTGTAGTGTTCTCTGTATCTGTAGTGTTCAGTGTTCTGTAGTGTTCTGTAGTGTTCTGTAGTGTTCTGTAGTGTTCTGTAGTGTTCTGTAGTGTTCTGTAGTGTTCTGTAGTGTTCTGTAGTGTTCTGTAGTGTTCTGTAGTGTTCTGTAGTGTTCTGTAGTGTTCTGTATCTGTGTAGTGCGTTCTGTAGTGTTCTGTAGTGTTCTGTAGTGTTCTGTAGTGTTCTGTAGTGTTCTGTGTAGTGTTCTGTGTTCTGTAGTGTTCTGTAGTGTTCTGTAGTGTTCTGTAGTGTTCTGTTCTGTATCTGTAGTGTTCTGTAGTGTTCTGTAGTAGTGCTCTGTAGTGTTCTGTAGTGTTGTTCTGTAGTGCTCTGTAGTGCTCTGTAAGTGCTCTGTAGTGCTCTGTAGTGTTCTGTAGTGTTGTGTATCTGTAGTGTTCTGTAGTGTTCTGTAGTGTTCTGTAGTGCTCTGTAGTGTTCTGTAGTGTTCTGTAGTGTCTGTGTTCTGTAGTGTTCTGTAGTGTTCTGTAGTGTTGTGTAGTGTTCTGTAGTGTTCTGTAGTGTTCTGTAGTGTTCTGTGATGCTCTGTAGTGTTCTGTAGTGTTCTGTAGTGCTCTGTAGTGTTCTGTATGTAGTGCTGTTCTGTAGTGTTCTGTAGTGTTCTGTAGTAGTGTTCTGTAGTGTTCTGTAGTGTTCTGTAGTGTGTAGTGTGTAGTGTTCTGTAGTGTTCTGTAGTGTTCTGTAGTGTTCTGTGTATGCTCTGTAGTGTTCTGTAGTGTTCTGTAGTGTTCTGTAGTGTTCTGTAGTGTTCTGTAGTGTTCTGTAGTGTTCTGTAGTGCTCTGTAGTGTTCTGTAGTGTTCTGTAGTGTTCTCTGTAGTGTTCTGTAGTGTTCTGTAGTGTTCTGTAGTGTTCTGTAGTGTTCTGTAGTGTTCTGTAGTGTTCTGTAGTGTTCTGTAGTGTTCTGTAGTGTTCTGTAGTGTTCTGTAGTGTTCTGTAGTGTGTGTTCTGTAGTGTTCTGTAGTGTTCTGTAGTACTCTGTAGTGACGGTACATGAGGGTGATGTGTGGAAGGGGGCGTGGCCTCACCTGTAGGCGTGGTCCAGGTCCAGGCCCATCCGGTGCATGATGTACGCCACGGTGAGGGCGGGCGAGCGAGAGATGCCCGCCGCGCAGTGCACGAGGACGGATGCGCCTGACGACAGGGCCATGTCTGAACACAGAGAGAGAACAGAGTCAGAGAAGAGAGGGAGGAGAGAGAACAGAGAGTCAGAGAAGAGAGGGAGAGGAAGAGAAGAGAGTCAGAGAAGAGAGGGAGAGGAACAGAAGAGAGTCAGAGAAGAGAGGGAGGAGAGAGAGAACAGAATGAGAGAAGAGAGAGAGAGGAGAGAGAGAGAGAGAACAGAGTCAGAGAAGAGAGGGAGAGAGAGAGAACAGAGTCAGAGAAGAGAGGGAGGGGAGAGAGACACAGAGTGAGAGAAGAGAGGGAGGAGAGGGCTGTGTCTGAAGAGAGAGAGAACAGAGAGTCAGAAAACAGAGGGAGTGGAGAGAGAGAACAGATTCAGAGAAGAGGGGGGAGAGAGAAATGGAGGAGAAGAGAACAGAGTCAGAGAAGAGATGGAGGAGAGATAGAGGGAGGAGAGAGAGAGAACAGAGTGAGAGAAGAGAGCAGTATCTGAAGAGAGAAAGAGAGAGAACAAAGAGTCAGAAAAGAGAGGGAAGAGAGAAAGGGGGGAGAGGGCTGTGTCTGAAGAGAGAGAGAACAGAGTGAGAGAAGAGAGGGAGGAGAGAGAGAGAGAGGGAGGAGAGAGAGGGGGATGTATGTGAGGAGGAAATAACAGAGAGTCAGAGAAGAGAGGGAGGAGAGAGGGGAAAGGAGCGAGAGGGCTGCATCTGAGAATACAACAAAAAAGAGTCCGAAAACGGTGAGGAAGGGAGAGAAGAGACAGAGAGGAGAGGGTCACATGTGAGCAGACCACAACAGAGAGTCAAGGAAAAGAGGAGAGAGAGCAAGAGAGAGAGAAAGAGAGAGAGAAACTGGTAGAGTAGAGAGGAGAAGAAGGAGGGAGGGAGAGGAGAGCGTACCGATGAAGCTGAGGGCCTGGGGGATCCAGGGCAGCAGGTCGTCGCTCAGGGAGTCATCGATGGGCACACGCAGGAACCTCGAGAAGGGCAAGAAGGACGGACGAGGACTGACCCGAGACACGGTCAACACGTACGAGATGTCCAGAGACGCCAGACGCTCCTGACCACACACACACACACACACACACACAGAGAGAGAGCCAGAGAGAGAGGTAAGACAACAAGTACGGAGAGAGAGAAGTGCTGAGAAGCCTCAAACCCCAGAGCATATATTGTGTGTCCGTGTGTGTGTGTGTGTGTGCGGGTGTGCATGTGTGTGTAATGTGTGTTATCACCACCAGAGGTCCTCTTGTTTTACTGAGTACTGCTCCACATACACAACACTGTCACTCTGCACACTTCACAATCACTATGCACACTTCCTGTCACAGTCACTATACACACTACACAGTCACTATACACACTTCACAGTCACTATACACACTACACACAGTCACTATACACACTACACAGTCACTATACACACTACACAGTCACTATACACACTACACAGTCACTATACACACTACACAGTCACTATACACACTACACAGTCACTATACACACTTCACAGTCACTATACACACTACACAGTCACTATACACACTACACAGTCACTATACACACTTCACAGTCACTATACACACTACACAGTCACTATACACACTTCACAGTCACTTTGCACACTTCACAGTCACTTTGCACACTTCCTGTCACAGTTACTATGCACACTTCACAATCACTACGCACACTTCACAGTTACTATGCACACTACAGTTACTATGCACACTACAGTCACTATGCACACTACAGTGTACCTATGCACATTGAAACTATGAACACCTTACACTGTAACTTTGAACAACTCACACTGTCACTATGCACACTTCACTGTAATTATGCGTACTTGCCACTATGTCTATGCACACTAGCCACTGTAACTATGCAGACTTCACACTGTTACTTTGCAAAGCCCAGCTTCACTGTAATTATGCACACTATACACTGTCACTATGCACACTATACACTGTTATTATGCACACTATACACTGTCACTTATGCACACTTACACTGTCACTATGCACACTTACACTGTCACTATGCACACTTACACTGTCACTATACATATACTTACACCATCATTATGCACACTTACAGAGTCACTATGTACACTGTCACTATGCACACTTAGACTGTTACTATGCACACTTCACACTGTCATTATGCACACTATACACTGTCACTATGCACACTTACACTGTCACTATGCACACTTCACTGTAATTATGCGTACTTGCCACTATGTCTATGCACACTAGCCACTGTCACTATGCACACTTCACACTGTTACAATGCACACTTCACACTGTTACTATGCCCCCTTCACTGTCACTATACGCACTATACACTGTTACTATGCACAGTGTCACTATACACACTTCACACTGTTACTATGCACACTTCACACTGTTACTATGCAAAACTCAGCCGTGCGCATCTCCGTGTGGCACAGTGCGCACCTGTGGATTCAGCAGGCAATCCGTCTGTGCCCCCTGGTGGTGAAATACAGCCACTGTAGCGCTCCTGGGTGAGAGACGTGTGAGCTGTGTCTGTGTGCGCCAACTGTGCACTAACTGTGCACCCAACTGGGTTTTGCAGCTCAGTGAATCTTGTGAGAAACGCGACCTCTCTGATTGTGAACTATTTGTGCACTTTAAATTTCACTTTGCACATTGTTTTCATCTTGTTGTAGTCTGACGTATATATTCGGCTCTTACAAATGATTTGAATAAAATTGCGCACATTGTGATAAATGCATGTTTGCATTGCAGATCTGGCTCGATGTGACGCTCTAAATGTGGTGCCACAGCAGACCCTCACAACAGAGCCCTGTGAACACACCAGAGTGTGCGTCCCTCCTGCGGTCCGCCACGGTGCGGTGCCTAAAGCTCCAAAGTGCGCAGTGCTGTCAGATTGGAGCTCTGGAGCTGAGGAGCTCAGTCTACTGCTGCAAGACCCCGTGCAAGAGTAAGACTAACCTGCGTCACGTCGCTCTCTGCGCCCAGATACAGCCGAGGCAGGATCGCGGACAGCGGCGGCCGCTCCAACTCCGTGCCCCCAAACAACACCATCTGCAGCAAAGATCCGTGCATAAAGTCACCAACAACCACCAGACTGTTTACGCACATGCACAGGGCTCTGCAGAGACTCACTGTGTCCGTGCGTAAAACTGCGGGTATCCGAGCGCAGAGTTCTGTCCGGCTCTCCGGTGCTGTTGCTCTCCAGTGCTCGGTGCTGTTGTCCGGTGCTCTATGCTGCTCTCCGGTTCTCCTCTCCGGTGCTGCGCTCTGCGGTGCTTCTCCGGTGCTGCTCTCACTCCGGTCTGTCAGAACTAGCTCCTAAACGATGAGCTCATCCTCTTTCTAACAATAGATATTGTCGAGGTGATGTCATTTTCAGCCAATCGGCGTGGCGCTCAGCGCACATGCGCAGAGCAGATTTGCAGACCGCTGTCAGCCTGCTGAGTGGTCATGTACGCGGCGGTAAACAACAGGATTGCAATGTTATTGTGGCATTGGGTTGATGTTTACCCGGGCACACGCTCCCGTCTGTGGGTACGAGGGACATGCACGAGCCGAGCCGGTGATGCATACACACTAGTGCTGCTTCAGTGCCCATAAGAACAACATAAACTATAATTTATCTGACTAATGAGTATTCTGCAATGAAATGACACCGGCACGTGATGCAATTTTATTACATCACGTAATTCAGAGCAGGACGTGATGCACTAATAACATACATCTCTAATGGTCATGGATCTAATAAACTAATAATAATCTAGACAGTCTAATAATCTTTAAAGGTCCTATGTTATGCAAAAGTGACTACTGAACTCGTGAGCTTTAAGCCACGTTTCAAAAACATGAGCTACCTGGAGTTATGTTTGTTTCATTCACACGTTTGACAAACGCAGCATTAGGCTGTTAGAGTCTGTTTACATCTCCAAATGCTCTGTTCCACCTTGTGATGTCATGAAGCCTTTAACAGCTCCTTTAACCTTTAGTACAGTAGAAACTGAACTCCAGAATTCCAGGTCTGAAATCATCCAAATGATTCTGATGAAGGTGTATGGAGTTTTACAAAGACAGTGGCGCACTTCCTGTATTACCACATCATGACATCACAAGGGTGGAACAGCGTTTGAGAGAAGAACTCAGGCTTAAACATGTGTGAATGAAACGAAACCAAACACAACTGCAGGTCTGTTTGTGATGAGGAAACACTGCATTAGAATATAGATGAGAAAAGAGCGTCACTCGTGCAGAGGTGAGCAGTGCGGACTGGGCGCAAACTAAACCTGGGCTCCAGAGGAATAAACACAGGTCTATACACCGACTGTTGGTTAAGATGGGCGGTGTTGTCCTTCAGTCCGTGCACATTGCGGAGGTTACGGGAGTGGAGGGATTGCATGACCGAGAGCACGTCCCCGATAGATTACGCACGGGAGTCCTGGAGGATCACGTGCATAAATTTGGCGCATTCTGGATTGGGATTGCGTTTTTGATGACGCTTCATTTACGGCCGCGTCTCCGTGCTGGAGAGAGGAGAGAGCCAATCGGAAACGTCCCCATTCTGTCCTGTATGGTCTTCTCTTCAGGCTGGGCGGGTTTATTCTGGAGTTACGAAGACGAAGGCAGCAGCTACATCTGTGTTAGTTTTGTTTTCTTGCCGCCTCATCTCCTTCATCCCCGCTTCTTCGGTTGTAAATCCCGCCCTCAGGGGAGAGATGGTCGTTTCCAATTGGCTCTTTGGTCCCAGGGAGCGCGGTGGACGGCTGATGAAGACGCGAGGAAGCAGCTGTACACATCTGAGACATATCAGAGAACTGGAGACGGGACAAGAGCATAAAGCCCACTCATAAAAAACACCAAGAAAGAAAATGTTTCTGATTAACCTCTTGATTGTAGGAGGAGCTAAATTGATCCTCACTATGTTACATTACACTACACAGTGTTGGGGAGTAACAGATTACATGTACCGGAGTTATGTAATCAGAGTACAAATTATGAGTAACTGTATTCAGTTACAGTTACTGTTTCAGTGAGTGGTAATTGGATTACAGTTACTTTGTTGAAATAAATGGATTACACAGTGGTATTTTCCTGTTTTTTCGGTAATTCCACTCATTGCCGGAAACCAGGTCTAAACTAGAGCTAAACCAGGACTAAAACAGGACTAAAACCAGGTCTAGTCCTGGTTTAGATCTAGTTTAGGTCTAGTTTAAACCAGGACTAAAACCAGTCTTTAAACCAGGACTAAAAAGGTCTAGTCTGGTTTAGGTCTAGTTTAAACCAGGACTAAAACCAGGTCTAAACTAGACCTAAACTAGATCTAAACCAGGTCTAAACCAGGAGTAAAACCATTACTAAAACCAGGTCTAAACCAGGACTAAAACAGGATTTAACAGGACTAAATCCTGCTGTGTGGACGTGTCTCCTCGTCTTCTATCAATAATATTTTTTATTTGGTTCAGTAAAGTCTGGGCTTTTTATTTTCTTTTATCAGACAAAACATCTTATGTTACGATTTCCTCGTCTTTGCTTCTCTACAGCAAATCAAGTAATCCAAAGTATTCAGATTACGTTACTCACTTTAAGTAATTTAATGGATTCTGTTACAAACTACATTTTGGGGTATGTACTCTGTAATCTGTAGGGGAATACATTTTAAAAGTCACCTTCCCAACACTGACAATACAAAGGGTGGATCAAGTGTTTTCAGAGCTCATACTTTTACTTCTACCTGAGTAATATACTGTATAGTGTAACGGTACGCTTACTTGAGTAAAAGTTGTGGATACTCTTCCCACTTCGCATTTTTACTCTTAAGTAATCTCTTGGACCACTACTTTATCCTTCTACTTGAATATTATTTTGAAGTGTTAGAATGATACTTGATACTCAGTACTGATTCTGATACCATGATGACAATAGAAGACAACAGAATGTGACTTTCAACATCAAATCACAGTACTTTTTTATATTACCGTACAGAACCATGGTTACTTTCTGTCCAGTGAATGTATTGATACTTTATTTGTATTTATTTATTTATTTGAGACAGGGACAGCGCACAATTTTCACATTTACCTTAACAGAAGAGATGCATTGTACATCAGGATGTAGCACCAGGGCTCATTTCCACCTGTCGTCCCTGGGCAGGTTCATTGTTTGTATTTAACTGACCTTGACTATCAACTGTTCTGGAGACCTGTAGCATGTTTTGGGTTGGGGGTTGATGGGGGAAACCGGAGCGCCCGGAGGAAACCCATCCAGACACGGGGAGAAACATGCAAACTCCACACAGAAAGGCCCAGGCGACCCGGGGATCAGACCCGGAACCTTCTTGCTGTCCTTGATGCCGTTTTACTTGCTTAAATGATCTAGTTTCGATACTTGGGCAAGACACTTCACCCACACTGTCTAGTATGAAAGTGGTGTGTGCGTAGGACGGGCCAATGGCGCAGACTGACAGCCATGCTTCTGTCAGTCTGCCCCAGAACAGCTGTGGCCAGTGTTGTGAAGGTGACTTTTAAAATGTATTCCCCTACAGATTACAGATTACATATCCCAAAATGTAGTTTATAATGTAATCCATTAAATTACTTAAAGTGAGTAACGTAATCTGAATACTTTGGATTACTTGATATTGTCATGCTTTTTAAAACAACATGAATGTAGTGACCACATCCTGAAAATTCTTGTTTGTTCTCTTCAAATTGTCTGTTGAGCCCAAGTCTCCATGAATAAACAACTGTTTGCTGTAAAGAAGCAAAGACCAGGAAATCTTCACATAAAATGTTTTGTCCTGGTTTTAGTTCCTAGTTTAGTCCTGGTTTTAGTTCTGGTTTAGACCTGGTTTTAGTCCTGTCCTGGTTTTAGTCCTGTTTAGTCCTGGTTTAGACCTGGTTTAGTTCCTGGTTTTAGTCCTGGTTTAGTCCTGGTTTAGACCTGGTTTAGACCTGGTTTTAGTCCTGGTTTAGACCTGGTTTAGACCTGGTTTTAGTCCTGGTATAGATGTGGTTCAGTCCTAGTTTAGTCCTGGTTTTAGTCCTAGATTAGTCCTGGTTTAGTCCTGGTTTTAGTCCTAGATTAGTCCTGGTTTAGTCCTGGTTTTAGTCCTGGTTTTAGTCCTGGTTTAGTCCTGGTTTTAGTCCTGGTTTTAGTCTTAGTTTAGACCTGGTTTTAGTCTTAGTTTAGTCCTGGTTTTAGTCTTAGTTTAGTCCTGGTTTTAGTCTTAGTTTAGACCTGCTTTAGACCTGGTTTTAGTCTTGGTTTAGACCTGGTTTAGTCCTGGTTTTCGTCCTGGTGTTAGTTCTGGTTTAGAGGTGCACAGGAGAACGGTGGCGTCTGCGCAGTACGGAAGGAGATGTAGGATTTAGCCCAAAATGTGAAAATGTGACAGGAAAATACCACATCTAATCCATTTATTTTAACAAAGTAACTGTAATCCAATTACCACTCACTGAAACAGTAACTAACTGAATCCAGTTACTCATAATTTGTACTCTGATTATGTAACTCCAGTACATGTAATCTGTTACTCCCCAACACTGGCTGTGGCTACAATAGGAGTTTACCACAACCAGGTATGAAGTGACTGAATAATGCTCTGTAAAACACCTTTGTGACATATGTCTAAAACTTACTTAGCTGTTTTTTTGATACTTTTTCTATATTTGCACTTTGTATAACTATTATTATTCTAATGTGCCTGGGCATTTTCCAGCTCCGAGGCCAAATACGGCCTTTTGGTTGACTTTGACCGGCCTGTTTAAGCTCATTTGGAACCCTAACCCTAACAAACATATTTTATCATTTTACCTCATGCAATGCACTGAAGCTGCATTGCCTTTGTTAGGCAACCTTTTTCATTACTTAGGTAAAACGCAAACTTTTACCAGCTCGTCAAAACAATGATATGCACGTACTGCTTTAATAAACAAATTCAATTAATATTATGCAGAATTGAGTTATGCATTTTGGCCCTCCACAATATTTTCAGTTTCTCATGTGGCCCCATGGAAAAAAATAATTGCCCACCCTTGTTCTAAAGTAACTGTACTCTTCCTTAATGTGTGAAGAAACCCTCAGTCGTCCAGGTAGAATCCATGTAGGAGAAAATTCAGTTTGTCGACTGGACAAAAGTTAGTTTGGTTGAAGACGTTTCGCAGTTCATCCAAGTTGCTTCTTCAGTTCTGGTAAGACGCTGGTGAACACTTCCTTATATCTGCAGGGAGGAGTTAACTACACTGAAACTAACACACACTTGTTTACAGTTTCTGTTTGTTAGTTTGACCTATTGACCTGTACAGGGTGTGGGGTCTAATTAACATAACAATTCATGGTCATAATGGAGCTTCCACACCTCTGGACCTGACCTGGACACACCTGTTGTTCTCTTGTTTGTTTTGATTTAGGTTTGAGGATGGAGTTGTAAATAGGAGGTAGATGGTGTCTGAGTCTTAATTTCTGTTTAGAGAAGGATTCTCTTTCTTAACAAAAATGGCTTCTTTCACTCCCCTCTCAAACCAATTCTTTTCTCTGGCTAAAATCTGTCTTCAACCAAACTAACTTTTGTCCAGTCGACAAACTGATTTTTCTCCTATACTCTTCCTCAAGTATATTTTTGGCAATATTGGCTGCACAGATCCCCTTAAATCTCATTCTCTCTCGGGCGTAGACAAAAGAGAAGACAGCAGTGTGACTATATGGCAGATTTTTACTTCACATTTTTTCATTACAGAGTAAATCTTAATTCTAACACATGTATTGGACAGGTCTGAACACCAATACGGGAGGCTGCGGTCGCTATGGTAACTGCATAGACACGAACGCACAGACGCACTCACGCACACGACACGGGAGACTACAGTTTACACTAGCACTTTACATGTCCTATGATTCTCTGCAGCCCCACAGTAGAACAGCGTCAGCACGCGTTTGTCAGAAAGAGTCCAGTTCATATCGTAATCACACGCACGCGCACACACAAAACGTCACGCTGAAATGAACAACCTGTGGAATCGACGCTCCCAAGCACTGCAAAAAACGATCAGCTACACCGTTGACATGGCTTAAAACTGCACTATGGAACCTTCCTGCAGAGGGGCCTTCACTGTAGGGCTGCACAATATATCGTAAAAATATCGACTGGCACAGTAATTGATATCGCACCCCATATGTGCACTGTAATGATGTTAGTGAACTGGTTTACCTCATTAAGTCCAAATTAGTAGTGTTTTGTTTTCGTCAAGTGTCATTAATAAACTAAAGCATGAAGTTTTGTGTTTTAACTGAAATCATTGTGTCTAAAAGTGTATTTGAAAATCACAATAATGTAAATACCACAGTTCTTAACAGCAATATCGAATATCCAAGAATAAAAGAATACAGCACAGGCCTGTTCACTTGCTTCTGTCCATGTTCATATTAATGATTTGCCTGGAATGTTCCACAGTATAGCTTTAAACGTAAAGAGGGAGAGGTCAAGTTACAGGTTAGATCTGTGGAGAGGCGACCCTGTTCACCTGTTTATAACCATGATATTTTTGAGCAATCACCTACAACGGAATTGTTAACATCTCCATGGATACAAGTGAGTGAAGGACCCCTCACTAGTAAAGTTACATGATATAGCATTAACCAGAATATTTATCTTGATTTGAGGAAAATAGTTTTGTTTAGATTATTTCTGAGATTATTTCAGCATTTAAATTTAGATTTGAGAACATTTTATACTTTGTTTTGAAATAAGATTTGCCAAAAGTTTTTTTTTTTTTTTTTTCATTTGAAGAGCAACAAATGAAATGTTGCTTGTTTCTTTGGCAATCTCATTTCAGGATTAGTGAAAATCTACTCAAATCATGATTAAAAAAAAAAAAAAAAACTAAACTAAAACTATTTATCCATTTTTAACATATTAAAGACAGTTGCTTTTTGCAGTGCAACCAATGGGACAAGAGTTATTTCCTTACCCCATTAGAAGATAATGATCTTGAAATAAAACACAATGTAAACAAGTTCAAACAAGTTAAAAAAAAATTAAGTTCAATCACAAAGCTATACAAGTTACACCAATTCAAATGAACATAACTATCCTGACGTCATTTTAAGCCATGTTCGAGTTTCATTTTTTGCAGTGTGGTCCAGGTCGGATAGTGCCATTTGAAATCAACAGTGGAATGGATGCCCAAACCCCAAAAAACATGGGAGCTCCTTCATTTGAAACCCGAGCGCTGTCCCCGCACGCCACCTCATCGGAATGTGACTAAGTCCTGTATACTGGCACATATTTACACTAGTGGAACCACGCGGGAATAAAGACTCGTTTGGGAGGACTTAGAGGGCGGGTGGCCGTGGCCGTGGTCTGAGTGCTTCTGCGAGTGCGGGGCAGCTTCGGGGGATAAGTGCGTGTGTGCGGAAGAGATGTGTCCCATTCACTTCAGGAGGAATGTTTAGCTGGGTACAAGCACGCTAACTGACACTGCAAAACGTATACGTAAAGGGAGGAAAGGACTTGGATGTTCTCCGTTTTTCTTCATTTGAGCAGTTTTGACTCGTTTAAATTACTGTTTTGAATTACATTTTCTGGCTGGCTTTACGTTCAGTTAATTCAAGACAAAATTATCTACCAAAAAGTATGTTTCTTTGTCATTTATAGTAACAAAATTGCACTTGGAAAACAAAAACAAAAAATCTCTTTAAAAAAATCTCCATTGGCTTAATAATTTTGCCTAGAAATGATAAAATAATGTTGAAATCTGAAATATTTTGAAATGTAAATGAAAGAAATCTTCCAACTAAATGAAATTAAACTAGTCAAAATTACTCAAACAAGAGCAATATTTTGAATTCAAGTCATTTAAACTCATGGATAATAGATTTCTTTATGCAGTGAGGGTTGGGGTGGGGGCGGGGCCACACACGCACACTCCGGGCACACACACCAGTAAACACCAACAAAAACAGAATGTCCAATATTGATAGAGAAAGAATGGAAATCCAAAAAGGTGGGAGAGCGATGAGAGTTATATGGCCGCCGCAGCGAGCAGGGGCTGCCTTTCCCTTATGTCATGTACAGAATTCTTTACTTATAGACTCTGAGGAGGGAGGGGAGGAGGGCGCTTCAGAACTGCTGGGACAGGAGCTCACACAGGCGCTTGGACACCGACTCTTTGCTGCAGCGCAGGGTCAGACGGTACATCTGCACACACACAGACAACTGTTAGAATGGACAGCATCTACACACAAAGCCCTCATCCATATACACTACAGGCTACACTTACACTACCGTTCAAAAGTTTGGGGTCAACCACACAATTTTGTGTTTTCCATGAAAAGTCACACTTATTTACCACCATGAGTTGTAAAATGAATAGAAGATATAGTCAAGACATTGACAAGGTTAGAAAAAATGATTTGAATTTGAAATAATATTTTTTTCCTTCAAACTTTGCTTTCGTCAAAGAATCCTCCATTTGCAGCAATTGCAGCATTGCAGACCTTTGGCATTCTAGCTGTTCATTTGTTGAGGTAATCTGAAAAAAAATTTCACCCCACGCTTCTAGAACACCGTCCCACAAATTGGATTACCTGGATGGGCACTTCTTGCGTACCGTACGGTCAAGCTGCTCCCACAACAGCTCAATGGGGTTTAGATCTGGTGACTGCGAAGAAATAGTTCTTGCACAATTTGGAGGTGGGCTTTGGGTCATTGTCCTGTTTTAGGATGAAATTGGCTCCAATCAAACACTGTCCACAGGGTTTGGCATGGTGTTGCAAAATGGAGTGATCCCCTTCCTTATTCCAAACCCCTATTACCCTGATCAAGTCTCCCACCTTACCAGAACCAAAGCAACCCCAGACCATCACGTTACCCCCCCCATGTTTGACAGATGGAGTCAGACACTCTTCCAGCATCTTTTCAGTTGTTCTGCGTCTCACAAATGTTCTTCTGTGTGATCCAAACACCTCAAACTTCAATTCTTCCGTCCATAACACTTTTTTCCAATCTCCCCCTGTCCAATGTCTGTGTTCTTTTACCCATATTAATCTTTTTCTTTGATTGGCCAGTCTCAGATATGGCTTTTTCTTTGCCATTTTGCCCTGAAGGCCAGCATCCCTGAGTCACCTCATCACTGTAGATGTTGACAGTGGCATTTTGTGGGTACTATTTAATGAAGCTGCCAGTTGAGGACCTGTGAAGCGTCTACTTCTCAAACTACAGACTCTAATCTACTTATCTTCTTGCTTAGTTGTGTGGCGGGGCCTCCCACTTCTCTTTTTACTCTGGTTAGAGCCTGTTTGTGCTGTTCTAAGAAGCGAGTAGTACACACCGTTGTAGGAAATCTTCAGTTTCTTGGCAGTTTCTTGCATGGAATAGCCTTCATTTTTAAGAACAAGAATAGACTGTCGAGTTTCACATGAAAGTTTTCTTTTTCTGGCCATTTTGAGCGTTTAATTGACCCCACAAATGTGATGCTCCAGATACTTAACCTGCTAAAAGGAAGGTCAGTTTTATAGCTTCTCTAACCAGCTAAACTATTTTCACACTGTGTTAACATGACTGCACAAGGGTTTTCTAATCATCCATTAGCCTTCTGACACAATGAGCAAACACATTGTACCATTAAAACACTGGAGTGACAGTTGCTGGAAATGGACCTCTATACAACTATGTAGATATTGCACCAAAAACCAGACATTTGCAGCTAGAATAGTCATTTACCACATTAGCAATGTATAGAGTGTATTTCTGATTAGTTTAAAGTTATGTTCATTGAAAAAAACAGTGCTTTTCTATCAAAAATAAGGACATTTCTAAGTGACCCCAAACCTTTGAACAGTAGTGTACATTTGTTACAGAATGTGCAGCTCAGCTATTGTTATCATGGCATATGTCATCAGAGGTATAATACTCCCTACAACAGATGCATAGCCAGACTGGACTGCACTGAAATGGACAACACTATCGCAGTGTCCTGAGGGTTCAGGTCTCTGTACTCAGGGAAATAAACCTCTCCTGTGTTAGAACTCCAGAGTCATGTCTCTTCTCTTTAAATTTAGTCGAGCCATTTTCTGTTCTGTTCTCACATGGAATTCATTATTATTCAGTCAGTTTATACAAGCTGATATTTTCTTAAGCACATAAAGGTAGAAACAAAATTAAAACTGTACTTTGTGTATGTGTAACTTTTCTGGTGGAGGGTTCGTCAAACTCTTGTCTTCATGGAGATGTTATTGCTTTGTCTGGAATGTTTCACAGTATGGCATTAAACCTTTCTATCTTCATGGAGACCAAACCAAGTTATAGGTCAGATCTGTGGAGAGGCGACACCGCTCACAGTCAGAATGTCTGTTTTTCTAGGTATTTTAGAGGTATAAAACCACATGTAACTGAATAAATGTAAAGTAGGTTTGTTTAATGTCATACTGTGGAATATTCCAGGCAAAGCAATGACATATCTATAGAAACAAGCAGGTGAATGACCTTCCAAAAGAAAAGTGACACAATGCACCTTTAAAATCTATTTTGATGCCTAAATTACTTAAGAGAAAACACTCCCATTTGGCTTGAACAGCCTACAAAAACAGTGAAGAGGTTTGTTTTGGCCTTAGTCCTCAATCATTTGGTCACGTTACTGAGTTAGGAGGAGGTCGTACCTGTGCCTGGGCGTTGGGCTCCAGTCTGAGCAGACAGCCCACCTGCTGGCCTTTGGTCTGGATGACTCCGGCACACACGTAGTTCTCTGGGTTTGGATCCACGTTGTCCAGCAGGGCCGACCCGAGCCCCAGCAACTGCACACAACAAATGAGCATAACCCACTGCTACAACTGCACCCTACTGACTTTTTCTTTTACAATTCAGTCAGGAGCATAAAGTATAAATCTGGCATCTTCTGTCTGACGGATGGTTTTCTACACAATGTCAACCCAATAAATATGATTCCACTTTAATCTGGGCTGCCTTTCTCCCAGCTGTTCAAAATGATTTAAACAACAGATTAGACCACCTCAAAGAAAGAAAAAATACAAGCTTATATCAGGGGGACACACTACGTTAATAATACAGACTTATGTAATGACATGTTAACTGGACATTTCTAAAGGTGAGATGGGGACAGTCGTGTACCTTAGCCTTGATGACCTCTGTGTCCATGCCGTGGTTGGCCTTGAAGATCTTCTGGGCTTCCTGCTGAGGCCTGAGAGGAGACACATGTGCATCTTTACTCTAAAGTGTCTCAGAGAAGAACTGCATGTACAAAAGCCTGCTCTCTTTCTCCCCATTCATCCCCCTCTCTCCATCCCTCAACGCAGACATCATACAGTGCAGCTCCTGTCCAGTGCGCAGCACTATTCCGTAGAGTTCAAAGTAGTGAGAGGAGCTCAGAGTGCACAAGTGCAGAGTGGAGGTGCGGGTGGAGGCACCACAGCCCCTCCTGTGAAGTCCACTGGGAGTCTTTGCCGGACGCTGGAGCCCACCGCAGCCTTTTTCATTCAGAAAGAAATAGTTCTCGCACAAACACGTGGCGTGACATGTGCAGCTGCACAACAGCACAGCTCCTCTGAGTGTGAGTATCACATAGCAGCCTCTCTGCCACTGCAGTCACAGGTGGACCGAGTGCAGTGTAAGAGAGGCATCTTTCATTCTCTCTCCATCCTTCTGACATGCTGCCTAAACTGATATGTTCTCCCTCTCATCCACCTCGCTCCCCTGTACTCACTGGCTGAGCTGTTTCCAGCGCTGGAAGAAGTCCTGTGAGTTCATCTCCGTTGGCTGAAAGAACTTGTTGATGGTGACAGGGAGTTTGAGGGTCAGATTCTGTAGAGCTCCTCCATACCTGAAAAAAGACCAAATGTTTTTTCTGCACCTTTGAGATACTTCGGAGCCAATTCTAAAGTGACATAGGAAATGGCACACAATATTGTAAACCACTGAGATATGGCTATGACAACTACAATATTAATATTTGAATATATAAAAAAAGAGAACCAAAGGCTAAACACGGACATATATGTACACTGAGGACTAAAATCAGCCTTATTTAAAATTTTTCATTAAAAGAACAGTGATTTTGGGTCAAATGGAGGCCTCACTTGTCCTCAGTGTTAGTGCCACGTGCAGTTGCTCCTCCACATAACACACTGGTGACTTGTACCTGAACTTGATGTTGAGCAGCGGGGCGTCTGAGAAGTCAGACAGACACTCGATGTTCAGGACCTGCTGGATCTGAGCTCCTCCCTCCACCAGGGGCTCCACCGGTTTAGACTGGACGTTCAGCTGTGGAGCGCTGTTAAGGACGACTACCACCGTGCCAACAACCAGCAACCAGGAGGGAGAGTTACCTGACATGAAGACTCTGGCTCCATCCGAACCTGGCCAAAAATCACTCCTTCCTTTTCCTTATCGTTGACGTCTGAGAGCCATGTCATGAGGTCAACTATGAGGACCTCTTGACATGGAAGGAAGGAGAAGTGAGGAGAAGAAGCTCTCGCTGCTTTTGGTGGATCCAGATCCTCCTACCAGCAGCAGGAACTAAAGCTGTTCAGTAAAAACTACAACTCCCAGAAAACTACCACAAGACTACAAAAAGTGCACCATCCTCCACTAGTGCTCTGAGTCTAATGACAGTTATTAAACCTTTCAGTCTTTTCATCACAGCTGTAGCTGACCTAAATAAAGTGACTGTACATGAGTGACATTATTGCTGTGAAATAAAGAGCTGCACTAAACCTGCACACTTATGTTCTGGTTTACCGTTGCCATGGTGAATGCTCATTTCTGGGATTCATCAATACAGTCTTGTGTCTTCTGCTAAACTCAAGGTTTACCATCTCTGAGTTGTCCAACTCTGCTCCAAGCCTATTTAGTGAAACAGAAAACTGAATTGTCTCTCTCAGGGGAGATTAACCCTGAGTGAACGCTACAAGACTTTAAGAGTTAACTGAACTTCCTGTGTGAAACAGGACCCTGGCGTGGTGTGTTGTTTTCATTCACACATGTGTAAACAGGAAGTGCTCCACTGTGTTCTTCAATGGTATTTGGAAAAATTCTGCCCTGGAATTGCCAAGCTCTACTGTACTATGGTCAACGGTAGCTGAAAACTACTGCTTCATTATGTCACCAGGTGGAACAGAGCATTTTGAGCTCTGGAGATGTAGACAGACTAATTGTAGGAGCCATTTTTCTTTCGTTTAGGCTGGGGTTAATTTGGATCACTGTTTGTCTGGGCACAGGGTGACCTATGTTCGGCTTGGCCACAAGGGGGCAGGGTGGAGTCAAGCCCTATATAAATGCACAGGTGCCAGTGTACTGGGTGTATGGGTGACAAGAGGTCACACGGTTTTTACCGCTCTCTTCCTGGCCGGTGATCTAGCTTTCACTACTCAACTCTGTAATATTATCGGACATCTTTTCATCCATCCTACTCCTTTCTGTCCTATAATCCAATGTGCCAATTGGGTAGCGCGTTAGACCTGGATCCCCCGCACCCAGAAACGACAAAATGTTAGGACTAAAATTGTCGCTACACTAATAATAAAGAGTTACTCAAACATGTGTGAAACAAAACAACTCCAGGTCTGTTTTTGAGGAGGAAACATTAGAACATGGCTTAAAGCGAACCATTGGCTGAGTGAAGTATAGAGAGTAAAGGATATGAGACTGCAGCTCTCCTGGACAGCTCACAGTGGTGCTGAAACTGGCAAACTGCACAGACGTCTTGTTCCCATAGAAGAGGTACATCCTCCCTGAGAAACACACAGCACACACTGCACTCAGTATGGAAGCTCAGGCTCTTCACACACACTGCTCACATCAGTCAAGGATTTTTGTTCAGGCAGCAAGGACCACAATAAGATTGATTCTGGCTTTACTGAGATTGTAATAAGGAACATGTTGTGTTATGCGTTACAGCAAAATGACAGATATTGCCCTAATTCCTTTTGTAGACAGTAAATCCCAACACCTGCACCCCTACAATTTTATGGAAAGGACCACTAAGTATACCATTTTTTTCAGGGAACAAAGGAAGGAGTTTTAATAATCAAGTTTGCCATTTACCAGATTCGTATCACTATAGATATGTTGTTGAAAAGTTGTCATGGAAACAGTACAGGCCCCGTTCTATATACAGGGAGCATAAAGGAGATACTTGCCCAGATTCTGCCGATACTCTGACTTGATACCGATCTGCAGGAGCTGATTCTCAAACAGAACGCCGTTGTTTTTGCACACAAACCTGGAGATTAGACAGAAAGTTAAACTACTCTGCAACAACAGTGTATACGCTTCAGGTCCTAATATGGAAGTTGGTGACTACTGATGATTAAATGGGATGATTACAAGACTCAAGATGATTTTGGGTCATGCAGAATAAGGACGACAAACTGGTCAGAATGTATGTTTTAAAAAGCTGGGTTCTAGAGATATAGTTCAGTATTAGACTGTGTGATTGATGGATGTGATGTTTTTCAGAATCGAGTAGCTGGATATAATTTGGGGGGTTTGGTTTAGGACGATTATCCAATCAGAAAGCTGAAATCCTTTGCAGGTGCAGATTTCAGCAGATGGAAACTAGCTTTAGCTAAAATCTGGTGCAGAACATTTTTTTTAATGATTTTATGTCTCTGTGCATTGTCCCTTCAAATAAAGACTAAACATGAAGACTAACCTAAACTAATCAGCTGGTTTAAACCTAAAAGGACTCTGTAATCTGAATTCGGGGTGTAAAGGTAGTATCTTTGAGGAGGTAACTAAAGTTGTTTGCTTCTTCGGAAAGTTCACACTTCGATGTTAAATCCAGTATTGCAGGATGACAAATAAGAGGTGTGTGGGTGTGTGTCTTTGTTTGAGCAGAGATGCATTCACCAGAAAATAAGTGAATCACAATGTGGTGGTTTGCCCACAATAGGATATCGTCACAGATCATAATTATTTTTTTTCACTATATTGTTCAGCCCTGATCTGAACGGTCACTCCCTAAACTCCAGCACCTGCACCTGTCATGAGTCAGTGCTAGTGCAGCCTCTGCAGCTCAGGGAGGGACTTCTGGAGCTTCTGATTTTCACATGAGGCCTGTCCATACACTGAGAATGAGACACACTTGGATGTGTCTCTGTGTGCAGGTTAAGGCTCTGGAGGCACATGTTCAGTTTTGATTATAGTACCTTTTTTTCCAAACTGTCAGAGCGGAGGCTACATTTAGCTCCTTTAAACAATTGGGATCATAATCACATCCTGGTGTGTGTGACATCCAAACAACTCAAATAATGAAACTGAAAAGAGAAATACAAAACGTAGTATGTTTTGTGATGCATCTTTTCAGTATAAAGAAGGCATCCCATCCCAATCCCAGATGTGTTAGCATGTTAGCATCTCCAACAGTGTGACCAGAGCACCCTGTAAACCCCACAGGGAGAGGCTCCAGAGCGAGCGAGCGCACGGCGGGCGAGAGAGAGAGGGTCTTACTTGTTGAGGAGTTCGTCAGCGTCAGGCAGAGGAGGAGCAGGATCCTCAGAGGGAGGAGCAGAGGAGCTGAGAGCAGCCAAGGTTACACAACACAAAGTACATGTGTGAGTACATAAGCAGGAGTCAGCGTGTGAAACTTAAACAGGACATGTTACGCTCGGGGACTTGGATACTGGTAGAATATTGGTTGTTATACCCTCAAAAATAACTTGAGTAGTGTTTTGTTTCATTCTTGCCTGTGTTAGAAAGCCCAGTTGCAGAGGTTAAAATGTACTCTAATGCAAATGAATTCTCCTTTAATTCAAAGAACTTCACTGAATGGTTTGCATACAGTAGGTCAGTCTGTGCTGACATGTGGCCAAGACTCTGGACTCTCCTGCATCCTTCACTCCTCACTGTCACCAGCAGAGGGTGTCTTTTAGTGATGTAACTTTTGGTTCTTTAACAGGATCCAAACCTTTAAGATCGGGTCATTTCAAAGAACCATTCAAGACTTTTTATATTAATTTACATGGCCGTCAAGTCAATGTGAGGACTACCAAGATGCGGTACTTGGTAGACTGTCTACTGTTTGAAATGATGCACATCTAAATGATTATCTAGTATGAAGCCAATATGTTATTATATGTTCTATTTTGTGCAAAAACCTTTCACTTGTCTTGCCTACTCTTCTTCTGTGCTCATTTTTGGTGATGGTTCAACATAATTCAGTGTAAAAATGCAACAAATTAGAAAGAATTATTTTTAAAAATGAGAGAAATGCTAATGCAAAGGTGTCCACAAGTAACTTAAAAGGCACAATGAAACATAACATGTCCCTTTAAGTTTGAATCACTGAGAGTCAATATGGTCAAAAGCAACAGTGTAGCCAGTATAGTGCACATAGTAATACCCCATTAGTTACCTAATCTAAGGTCCATGCATTAGCCTGGAGCACTACTGTAGTGTTAGTCTAATGTAGGCTTAATCCAGATACTATTTACATCTGCTAATGACATGCTTATCCCCACCTAGCTAGTCTCTTTGACTAGTAATTGATTTTGGACAAATTGCAACTATATAAGTCCCTGGATCTAACTATGACTATAGTACTATTAAAATACTTAGACACAATATTAAAAAATCTAAAAATGTTGCAAATTTTAGGAGAAATAGTTAAAATTAGGTTCAGAAAATCAAATACACAAGTGTAATTACTGTCACGTTAGCCCACATGTATCCTCTATACTGGGACTAACTACATGACTACAATCCTATAAACACATCATTCCTATCATCTACAATGCACTACTTTGCCCTTACTCTGCGTCACCAGAGCCCTCCACCAATAGGGAGTCAGAGGTGTCAGTGGGCTGTTCCAGCTCCCTGTCAGTGTCCAATCAGAGAAGACACACATGCACCCCCACACACACACACAGGCACAGGAAGAAGAAAAGAAGAGAAGAAAAACATGGAAGACAGTCACATAGACAGCAAAGATTCAGTTGAAGCAGACCTGCCAACATGGAAGAGGACGGAGCTCTAAACATCTCTGATACTCAGAGACCCACTGCTCCTCACAGCTGCAGGGACATGACTCATGACTCAGTGATGGCAGCAGACATGCTTCCACATACTGGCATATACAGGTCACTGAACATGCAGTTTGTAGTCAGAACAGAACATGATCAGTCACCGTGGTCATTGTATAAATGCTTCTAATCAAATGGAGAATAGAGCTCCTGGCATCTGATGAGGCTGTTTTCCTGTCCATGCTGGCAGGTCCATATTAGACACAGAGACAACAAACAGTGAAAGCACAGCAGTATGTGACCACGTCACAGACCGACCACACCGTCACAGACCGACCACACCGTCACAGACCGACCACACCGTCACAGACCGACCACACCGTCACAGACCCATCACACCGTCACAGACCGACCACACCGTCACAGACCGACCACACCGTCACAGACCGACCACACCGTCACAGACCCATCACACCGTCACAGACCCATCACACCGTCACAGACCCATCACACCGTCACAGACCCATCACACCGTCACAGACCCATCACACCGTCACAGACCCATCAGACAGACCGACCACACCGTCACAGACCGACCACACCGTCACAGACCGACCACACCGTCACAGACCCATCACACCGTCACAGACCCATCACACCGTCACAGACCCATCACACCGTCACACCCATCACACCGTCACAGACCCATCACACACAGACCCATCAGACAGACCGACCACACCGTCACAGACCGACCACACCGTCACAGACCCATCACACCGTCACAGACCCATCACACCGTCACAGACCCATCACACAGACCGACCACACCGTCACAGACCGACCACACCGTCACAGACCGACCACACCGTCACAGACCGACCACACCGTCACAGACCGATTACACCATCACAGACAGACCACACAGTGCTCACAGCAGTACAACAAAAGCTCACCTGAGGAAGCCGTCGTTATTTACAGCAGCAGCAGGAGCGGCCGGCCCAGCCTCAGAAAACACATCCACCAACAAACTCCCTGCAGCAGCTGGGGGAGCACCCATGGGTGCAGAGGAGCGGATACCCAGGAGATCGGCTGAGGGCGACGGGGTAGACTGGAAAAGAAGCAGGGCTCACAGTGTTCTAGATTTCCTAAGAGCCTTTTCCTATGTAATCCAAAAGACTTGACCCCTGGAGGGGTTTGTGCATATAGTACATGCTTTAATCTGGACACATGTTTTGTACATACTGCGTTGGAGGCAGCCATGGCAGCTGTGTCGGCCGTCCGCTCTCCTCCTCCATTGAGCTCTCCTCCCTCTCGTTTACTGTCGTCCAGCTCTGTCACAGACACTGCTCCAGGGCCCTTCTTCTTCTTGAGCTTTGCTAGAATAGAGGACTCCCGCTCAGGGAAAGGGGGCATTTCCTCCAGGACTGTGGCCTGTGGAGCAGCTCTATTAGACCTTACAGACTAAATAGAAACAAACCGTGTGCATGTCTCACACTCACCAGGACATCTGTGCTGGCGATAGAGGAGAGTTTGAGGTACTCCACAGCGCGCTGCTGCAGCTCCACATCAGAGTTCCGGATCTGACTGTCACAGCGCAGGACCTCCTGGATGGTCACCTTGGTCTCTGGGAAGAGGTTGATGAACTTGATGTAGGCCGAGAGCAGGAGGGCGCGGGTGGGCACGGAGCACAAGTGGAACTTAGAGTGGAGGAGGTTGAACTGGACCAGTGGGCTAAAGGACACAAACATATCATTCAGTATCACCTTCAACACACAATACAACGTCCATTTATCATTTGAGAAAACACCAGGTCTACCTGGAGCGAGGGTCTCCAGCAATGAGGTTTCCAAACTCCCCCAGAATATAACCCCCAACTTTGACCATGTTCTCATGACATGCAGGAGCCTGCAAAGCCTGCTCAGGACAGTCATGACCACATTAAAGTTAGAAAAAACTCAACTTACAGTGTATGTAGATATGATGCTACATCACACAGAAAAACAGGGTTACCTCAAAGACAGTCTTGGCAGCGTAACCCTGCACATCATCGCGGTTGATGACAATCTGGATGACGCGGTACCACACCTCCTCACTCACATAGTCTCCAGCGATCCGGATCAGGTTCAAGATGGTGTCTACGTACCACGAGTAGTCCACCGCATACTTCTCTGCCAAGATGGCCACTTTGAGCACCTGTCACACAAACACAACCAACCTTTACTTTTAGTTTCACTGTAACTTTAAGTATAAAGCTTACATTTGACAGTTTATTCTGCTATTTTAATGGTCTGGATTGTTAAGGTAATTTTAAAAGGTCCGGGTGATTGTTAACGATGTTTGCTCTATCAGCGACTAATATTTGTATAAGCAGACTCACCATCTCCTCCCTAATGGAGTAGTCTGCAGTTTCCAGGTAGCTGAGCATCTCAGCCACAATCTGCTTGGCGTTGCTGCGGTCGCACATGGCGTAGAGCAGGTCAGCTGCCCGCTGCCGTACGCTCACATCTCGCTCAGTCTGAAGACAAAAACCAAAAAGATTATGTGTTTACAGTAAATGAGGCAAAACTCCTACTGTATTGATGTTAGCCTAAAGTGAGTGTGGTGTGCAGACCTTGAGGGCATTGATGACAGTCTCAATATGGGTCTTCACAGCCTCGTGGGAGAACTCGGAGCTGGCCAGGGTGCACATGCTCTCCAAAGCCAGGTAGCGCAGGTTTGTCTCCCGGTGCTGAAGGAACTGGCCCAGCTGGTTACAGGCCCGTACCAGCAGGTTGGGCTCACTAGAAGGAGGAACAATACACTCTACCTTAGACTGGCTTGAACAATGGCTGAAGAACACATTTCCAAAAAATAATATCACAGCAATAATAGCTAATGAATATCAACATCACAGGACATTGAATGCACAAATATTAGAAATTTTCTGAGGATCATGTTCAAATCCAGGCATGTGGTGGAAGGCTGGATCAACCAGATTGTTACCACAAACAATCTGCAATCCAGTCTGCCCATACTTCCACTGTAGGGAGTATTATGCCTCTGATGACGTAGGCCAAGATACCAAAGAGTTGGTAGTGAGTGCCATGCAGTACAGCACACAACTGGTATTTCTCTAACTCTCTTTGGTGTAACAAATGCCTAAAAGCAATTTTCTATAACATATACTCTAGGCCAATCTATTTTATGCTGTACAAATTATGATCAAAAACTTTAAATAGAAAAAGAGGAGGATGCACAATTCTTTGTTTGAGGTCTGCCTCAAACAATCCAAACTGTTCATTTCAATAATGATACAATCTGCGCACCTTGTTTTTGGACTATGTGGCCACCAGTGTCTTGGGCGAAACAATGGCAAATGATAAATGAAAGAACAGCACAAACTTTTTCTTTAACGGAGAGCTGAAAAGCCCTGTATCATATAATCTTAAAAACTTGTGTTAGCCTGTCGTAACCAAACAAACAACTAATACTGAACACATTTTTCTCACAGGACTGTAATCCTAACTTTTCAAATTAACCAGATTTGAGTTAGATAAATGTAAAATTACTACCTACTGACTTTTTTCATTTTTGAATTTTGAGAGAAAAAACAAATTGTTAACACACCAGCTGTAGCACCTTAAATGAAATTAACAATAACCAGAGCAAGGGGGCATTCCATCAAAGTGACTTAACACATCCAGGCTGAAATCCTGAGCTGAAACTAGCTCCATCTCTAGCTCAGCTCAAGTCGTTCCACAACAGAAATAAGCCTGAGTCTGACCAAAGCTAACTCAGGCCTGAGGTGTAAGCTGCACTTTGTGAGCGCTTGCAGTGACTCTGGGAAGTCCGTATCAATGGAGCAACAACAACATGGGAAATGGGTCAAAATTGTGATTCTTTTTATGATCCGACTAAACAAAAGAGGTCATTCTGATCTGAGGAGCAAGAGGAAAGACACGACTCCCCCCTTCTCTCCTGTTCGCTCCACCCTCCTCTCCCGGTCGCTTCGCGTGTAGAGAGGAGGCTGCTGCAGAGTGTGGAGCCTGGTTAATGAAGATGCCTGACCTGCCATGACTACATGTGGATCTTAAGTTCCGCTGTTCGTAAAAGTAAAGCTGCAACAGAACTCTTCACATGTACCTAACAAGAACAATAAAATCCACACCAACGTGTTGGCAGTTTGACAGGGAGCGAGAGATGAGGAAATGAATAGAGAGACAGACGTGATGAAAGAGCAAACAAACAGCCCCTCAAAACAGACACATGTGCAACATCATTTGAATGAAATAATGGCCATAAATTTTTATATGGTTTGTGATGAGTGCAGTGTCCACACACACGTGTGTCCTGTGTGCAGGAGCGTATGAACTGTAAAAGACTCAAGCGACACGCGACTATAAAAGTCACTTTTTCAACTGTATCAGACAGAGACAGGTGTTCTAACACAAGTGTGTGAGGGCACGTGCTGAAACTTTTGACTAAACTGTTTCTTTAAATGTTCTTGGAGGCAGAGCTAAAACAATCTTGACAGTTGCTCCTGACCAGGTTTGTTTTCTGGGTGCTTGTTTCTGCAGCAACTCAGTGTCACCTCTGGTCAGTCACTTTGGTCACTTTGGTGAAACGGAACTGAGGCTTTGACAAGCCTGGATTAGCCAAATAAACCAGGCTTCCACTTTAGCTCCCTTCATAGAATACCCCCCACGGGTACACCGCTCCTCACCTGTCATAGGATGATGAGTGAGATTGCCTCAAACAAAATGGCATTCTTTGCGTTGGAGTGCTGCACTTTCTTGGATTTGGGGGGCTCCTGGGCCTTGTTAAGGATGGTTTCCAAACACTCCACCAGACGGCCCTTCACAGCACCATCTTCAGGTGGCGGGTAGCACTGCAGCAGGCGTAGGAGCTTACAGGAGAGCCATGGGGCCGGCACAAAGTAATACGTGTAGTCCTGGAGATCTGTGGAGGCTGAGGACACAATCTGGACACACAGGGGTATATACGTCACTCGTCAACTACATCTTAAAGGTAAGATTAGTTATGCTATACATGAACTCAAATTCTGTCCATTTATCTAGTTTTTTCCATTTAAAGTATTTACCAACACCAGTTTTGTCTCCAAATACCAGTTTCTACCACTTTCAAACTTTCCACTTTTTTTGGCACGTTACACCCACCTCTTGCACATACTGTTCTGCACCATGTTTATGTAGTTTGCCAAGGCAATGAAGGAATGCATGCCCAGAACTACTAGAGTATATTATATTTATATTTGCATTACAAAATATATATTCCATCACAAAACCCACACAATAATGCAGTACAGTAATCTGACCTACATGTAGTAAACTGGTAAAAGAAGGTGAAAATGAAGGTCCATCAGTTTTATCAACAAATACAACATAGAGGGGAATTTAACTGGAGAAAAAAATATCTATAATATGTTATCTAAAATATTAACAAGTTGAATCCAATTTAAAAATTGCTTCTATCACTTCTTTCAATGACCAAAAACTTGCAAAATAATTCAAAGAAATCAAATGTATTGTCTGGTGTGTTAGAAATGTGTCTTGTTCCTACATTTATGTCAGTGATCTACAGGCACAAAGATTCATCCATATTTATTTATTTTTTTGAGACAGGGACAGTGCACAATTTTTGCATTAACCTTAACAGGAGAGATGCATTGTACATCAGGTTGTAGCATTAGTGCTCGTTTCCACCCGTTGTCCCTGGGCAGGTTCATTGATTGATGGTACTTAACTGACCTTGACTATCAACTGTTCTGGAGACCTATGTAGCATGTTTTTGGGTTATATCCCATTATTTCCACAAAATCTCACCCTGCTCAGTCTGGACACGGCCAGGGACACACAAGTCTTGAACTCGTCTGGGTTCTTCTGGCTCAGACAGGTGATCAGAGAGATGGCTGCTGTCACAACACCCTGGAACACACCAAACACAATGCACCTCTTACACAGATCAGGGTCAGATGGAGCAAAGGAGCGGAGGAGAGGGTCAGGAGTGTGGGAGATTTGCCTTGGCAATCTTTGAAAGGATCTAGAGGAAAAATGAAAATGTGGCCAACAGTAAAACAAAAAAGTTGAATCTTTACAGGGAAAAGTAATGCGATGTCATAAAAAGATGCCAAGAATTCCATTGAGAATTAGCTTTTAACTTAATTCAAGAGTCTAGATCTCTGGTTTCTTAGTGGGTCGAACTAACTTGATATTTGTAGCCCTTTGAATAGAGATCTACACAACAGACTTTTTCCCTCCACAAATGCACATTATCTTCTGCATGTTTTTTCAAACAAATAGTCTGTATTGACACTAAAATATGTCTGTAGGTACACCATGTTTGTTTTGGTTTGTTCTGCTTGAATTTAAAAATCTACAACAGGAACCTTTGGGACAAATAAACAATCTTGAATCTGAAATCTGTCATTAGCAAATGACACAACAAATGTGTTATATTCCCTGCCTGCATCAGTCCAAAGTCCTCACCATGTGCTGGTCGTTGAGCAGGTGCACCACTCGTGAGGTCCACTCTCCCATCAGCACCAGGTCTGGAGAGGTCTTGTAGAGGCGCAGTAGACACAGGGCAGCTGACTGTTTCACACTATCCATGGTGTCTCTGTGAGGGACAGTACAGACCGAGCATTTACACAGGCTGCTCTGACACACAGTGCAGGTTTTACACTCAGAAGGTCCATCTGGTATTGTTACATGTTTGCATTCAGATTTTGATTTGCTCATTGTGATTATTCACATCACTAAGGCTGCAGTTCTTTGTCTAAGTTTTCTAACCCTAGAATTTAGACCTCTACAAACAAGTTCTGAAATGCATGGGATTTTTGTATTAGATCAGAAATCACAATTATACCTAAACTGTTTAAAGGTGCATTGTTAACTAGCGCTGCGCAAGTTTCAAATGTATTGTTCCAATCAGTTAAACAATTTGATTATAAAAAACACAGGATTAGCAGCTTTTACACAGAATAAGACTTCATGAGAAGGTGTCTGACACACAGCAGTTTGTAGAGTCTAAACTACTTAGCAGTTTTTATATAATCTATATTACACAAAACTGCCTCTTGTGAGCTTTAAGCTGCATTATAATGTTGTTATCTCCTCAAAACAGACCCGGAGTTCTATTTTGTTTCATTCACACATGTTTGAGTAGACCTTTATTAGTCTGTCTACATCTCCAAAGCTCAAAATGTTCTGTTCCACCTTGTGATGTCATGTAGCATTAGTTTTCAAGTGAACAATTCCTTTTACCCTGTGTTCAGTAGAGATTGGCAATTCCAGGTCTGAAATTATCCAAATGATTCTACTGAAGGTAAATGGGGTTTAAAAACACAGTGGAGCACTTTCAGATTCAGAAAACTCCCAAAGGGCAATTCATTTGCAGCATTTCTCACGCACACACAGACAGACACACGCACACAGTTTGTTACAATCCAGTCAAGTGGAACTCAATAAAACAACTTATATTACAATGCAGAACTTCAAAAAACATTACCATCAGAATTTAATAGTAGAAGGCACAAAAGAATTAGTGGTAGACGTTTGTCTACCAGTGCACAAAACCGACACCCTGAAGGCATCGTGACAAAGTCAGGGAGGGACCAACCAGGAGACCCTTTGCTTTGCTCAGCACCTGCTCCTCCAACAGAGAATGCAGCTCTCTCACTTTGACCCCTGTGATTTTTGAACTGGTTTGAACAATGTTCTGCAGTTTGTTTTAATCCTACAAAGACAGGGATTGAAACAAGCAAATGAAAGAAAAAGTAAGCAGACTTTCGGTAAAAGAACAATAAAAGTTGTGAGAATTCAGTTTCTCAACAGGTACATTCTTTGCTGCCTTTGTTTGACACTGCTTTCAGTGTTTAGGTCAGCTCTCAATTGATTGTCCATCACGGTGCCCAGACATTTGTAGCCATCAACAATTCTGACATCATCACTGTGGCAACGTTCAAATCTAGGTAGTTGTCCTCACACCATTGGACAAACTGACCAGCGCAGGGCCATCATTTACCTCAGATCCTAAAAGCAATGACACAAGGACTGTGTAGACAGAAAATGTAATCAGAAATCTGTTTTCCTCTGAGGATCTGCAGCTGCCCGTGTACAGAATAAAAAGAGGCGACAGGACACATCCCTGAGGAGATCCAGTGTTAGAGATGGAGGAAGGAGATCTTTGACAATTGACAAAAACAGACTGGACCCCATCAGTAGGAAAGTTTAAAAATCAATAAAAGAAGCTGATCTGAGAGCTTAAAATGCAAAGCCAGTCTTTGAATCAGGCTGCATTTTGTTCAAAGAAAAGGAAAAGTGTGCAAATAAAAGTCTCACACGGCCCCCGGTGTATTCAAATGCTTATAGACAATATAAACTAGAGCCTGACCGATATATCGGTTGGCCGATATTATCGGCCGATATGGGCAACTTTAGGCATATCGGCCGATATGCTTTCTGATAGGGGCCGATATTTCACGTGGGCATGTTATACCTAGTTATAAAGCTTAGACTCTCTACATTCTGTTCATTTTATCCAATTTACAGACAGATAAATGTCCTAATATGTGGCTCCACATCAGTATTTATCTACGGAGTCATTTGTCTGTATGTCCGTACTGTCCCTGAACACACCACAGAGTCGCGTCACTCACGTGTGTTTGTTTACACCCGCAGACACAGATCCAAACACTGAGATTATATTCTTTTTACGGACAATCGGTTTGAGTCTGGATTAAAAGGACATTTATTAGTGCAGATTTGTCGACTCTGAAGCTAGTTTTTGTCATTTGTTATGGGTTAGCTGCTGTAGCTCCCGCACATAAACAGACTGTTTTCTATTGGTCTGTTCTAAAGTGACTATATTGGCCGTATATTTGTTACTGGACCTGCACTGATATGTAAATGAGCTGTGAATAGATGTGTGAATTATGACATTTGCGCATATAATTAATTACTGCGGCGCGCACGTATTTACGGCTAAAGGCTAATAGCGCTACTTTCTTTACTAGTTATGGGTCCGTCGCGAACGAAATGGCTCTTAGAGCCGGCTCTTTGAAGGGAACGACGGGAGCCTGATCCTTATTGGGAGCCGTGTTTTCTCTTTTTCTCACTTTTTTTCTCTTCACGCCGCGTGCAGATTCGTGGTTTGACAGCGGCAGCGGCTCAAAATGAAACTTTGAGAAATTTGCGTGTACGTAGGATTAAAAAAAAATAAAAATAAAAAAAACGAGCATATTTGACTGTAGTTTAGCATAAAATAAATAAGTCCCGGTTAAGTCCTTTTTCAGTCCTGGTTTAGACCTGGTTCAGTCCTGATTCAGTCCTGCTTTAGACGTGCTTTAGTCCTGCTTGCAACAAAACAATCTGAAGAGCCACTTGGGAGCCAAAAGAACCAGCAGCTTTTAGTGAGCCGAGCCAAAAGAGCCGGTTCTCTAAAAAGAACTGGAATACCCATCACTAGTGTCTAGAATGTGATGCAAAAATGCCATTAAACCAACCTACTGCCTGTAAATATGATGTAAAGAGCCAGAATAACAATAAATGTTGCCTAAATAAACCCAATTTAAAATCCACCAGAGCCAAACCTAAGTTTTTTAAACAAGTCAACATTTACAGTGAATTTTTACATCACTAAATATATCGGCGATTATATCGGCTATCGGCAGCGCCAACTCCCATTATATTGGTTTCATATCGGCCACAGCAAAATCCATATCGGTCGGGCTCTAATATAAACATCAATAAAAACGCTTTGCATCCTCCACTCCCTTATTAGGCTGATATGCAAATTGCAGTGGATCCAGTTTTCCTTCAGTTAAAAACAAAATGTGAGTCTTTAAAATCCATTCAAAACTCTTCATAAGTAGTCATCTGAGTCCCACCAGCCTGAATTCACTCAGGTCCTTTGATCTGCTTGATTTGTGGAGAGATATTACTGTCTATGTCCTCCACAGAGTAGGAATGTGACCAAGATTTAACACACTTCTGAAACGGTCTAGTAAAAACAACACTGAGCTGGGTGGCACAGTGGTGTAAGGTGCGCCCATAAATGACATCAGGACCCCTGGCCTTCCCCGTCTTTACTTTCTCAAAAAAGGCAGTGACCTGATTATGTGAAATCACAATTTAATTTGAAGGTTTAAAAGAGTTCTGCAGTCAGACACATTCTTCAAAACATCATCTTTTTCAAAACAAGAGAAAAAAGTATTAAAAGCAACTGACCATCAGACACACACTTTACAATTACAGGTTTCCTGTCCTCTTTTTAGTGGCTACTGGAGGCCATGTTCTTAAAACCTCGCCAAGCTGCTCAAAAGTCTCCACTGCTGTACCGGGCTTCAACTTTATCCTTGTATTTTAGTCTGGCCTTTCTTAGCTCCCCTTTCACTTCCCTAGACTGTAGCCTGCCTTTTTCTCCAACTGGTCCCCAGTGCAATAGATCGCTTTCTTTTTATTTGCAGTTGATTTAATCTGTTTTGTTATCCATGGTTTGTTATTTGGATAAATAACAACATTTTTGGATGAAACAATGGAATGAACACAAAAAATGATATAGATGTGGACAAAATTGTTGGTACCCCTCTGGTAAGGAAAGAAAAATCAACAATAGTCATTAAAATAACTTGAAATTAAGAAAATTAATAATAAATAAATAATTACTGAAAAATAACTAATGAAAATCAGACATTGTTTTTGAATTGTTGTTCAACAGAATTATTTTAAAAAACAAACTAATGACACTGGCCTGAAAAAAAAGATGGTTCCCCTTGAAAAGATTGTAAGTAACTGGACAATAAGGACATGTTAAACTTAGATGTGTCTCTAATCTGCATCACAGGTTCTTCAAACTTGTCCTCAGTCAGTGTGTCTGTTTAAAGGGGACATGTGTCACTGTGCTGTTTGGAGACATGATGGACACAACACTGAACATGGACCAGAGAAAGAGAAGAAGAGAACTGTATCAGGAGACTAGAAAGAAAATGACAGACAAGCAGGTTAAAGATAAAGACAATAAGACCATCTCCAAGCAGCTTGATGTTCCTGTGATTACAGTTACACATGTTCTTCACAAGTTTAAAGATCCACAGGACTGAAGCCAACCTCCCTGGACACGACTGCAAGAGGAAAACTGATGACAAAGTGAAGAGATTCATCATATGAAAGGTAACCAAGTTCAGAACAACCTTCAAACAAATTAAAAGGGCAATTAGAAGGGCAAAGTACATCAGTGTCAGATCACACCATCTGTCACCAAAGTGGACTTCATGTGAGGACACCACTGCTGAGAGCAAATCATAAAAAAGTGAGACTGGAATTTGTCACAATGCAGATTGACAAGCCACAAAGCTTCTGGGAGAATGTCCTTTGGACAGATGAGACAAAACTGGAGCTCTTTGGCAAGACACATCAGCTCTATGTTCACAGACGCAACAATGAAGCAGACCAAGAAAAGAGCACTGTCCTACTGTGAAACATGGAAGAGGTTTGGTTTTGTTCTGGGGCTGTTTTGCTGCATCTGGCACAGAGTGTCTTGAATCTGTGCAAAATACAACAGAATCTCAAAACTATCAAGGTATTTTGGAACAAAATGAGTTGCCTGGTGTCAGAAAGCTTGGTCTCACTTATAGGTCATAGGTTTTCCAACAGGATAATGACCCAAAACACACAGCTAAAAACACACAAGAATGACTAAGAACAACTTGGACTGTTCTGGAGTGTTCTTCTGTTCTGGAGTGTTCTTCTGTTCTGGAGTGTTCTTCTGTTCTGGAGTGTTCTTCTGTTCTGGAGTGTTCTTCTGTTCTGGAGTGTTCTTCTGTTCTGGAGTGTTCTTCTGTTCTGGAGTGTTCTTCTGTTCTGGAGTGTTCTTCTGTTCTGGAGTGTTCGACTGTGAGCCCAGATTTCAGTCCTACTGAACATCTGTGAAAGGAACTGAAACATGCGTCTGGAGAAGGAACCCTTCAACCTGAGACAACTAGAATAGTTTGCTCATGTATGTATGTATGAGTGGGTCAAAATACCAGTTGATCAGTGCAGAAGTCTCACTGACAGTTACAGAAATCGTTTGTTTGCAGAGTTTGCATCAAAAGGGTGTGTAACAAAACATTAAGTTAAGGAGGGAACCATCATTTTTGTCCAGGCCAGTTTCATTATTTAGTTTTTTCTAATGATTTCGTTAAACTACAGGTGAAAAACAATGTTTGATTTTCATTGTGCAAGTTTCAGTGAATTTTTATTTATTATTGCTTTTATCAGTTTCAAGTTATTTCAGTGACGAAAGTTTTTGTCGTCTTTTTGCATTGAGTCAGTTCGTTAAGATGCCGTCACCAAAATCTCACCATCAGCTCACTGATGTCAAGCTCACGTGCAGCAGCTCTGTTTCCTTCTTCCACAGCCACATCAATTGGAGTTAACTTTAAAGCTGCATCATCTGCATTTCTTTGTGTGTTTTCCATGAAGATGGTGTGTGTATGAAGCATGAAATATCTGTTCAAAACACAATCAAACGAGCATCTTCTTCGGGGCATCATTGTCATCTCTCCCCCGCACGTCTCCTGCAGAAAGCACCTCTGTCCTTTCTGTATCAGGTCAGTGTCCTGTAGATTTCAGGAGATCTGAAATCTCCTGAAATCTACAATATCAATCAGGTATGAGTGAATGTCCGGCTACTGAAGTTTGAGACATTTCTTCTCGTCATTTACACATACGGGTAAGACGTATCCCCCTCACTAATGTTAATTTAGCATCATAACTTATTTTATCACACACCGATAAACTATTTGAGTGCACTGACAATATCACTAGCTAGTGTAGCAACTTCATATGAACCCTAGATCCATGTGTAAACCGCACAGACAAGCGGCGCTTTCTGCACTCAGGCTGCACGTATCCGCTGTGTTGCCAAACCATAGACTGTATATATGAATGGACAATGTGCCAGAGAATCCGTCCATATATTCGCCGCATCATTTTATTAGCCGCAGGGTTCAAAGTGTGAGAAAAAAGCAGCGGTTTATAGTCTCAAATTTATGGTACTGTTCATATGTCTAAAAAGTCTTACAGAGACAACAGTGATTGAAGTCCCCTAGAATAAATTTTGGGACGTCAGACAAGAACTCAGCCTAAATGTGCAGGGTTTGTGTGTTAAACATGTGTGAATGAAACAAAACACAACTCCAGGTCTGTGTGTGATGAGGAAACTACATTAAAGATTAAAAAATAGCACAATATGGGCCCATTAAATAATAAGAAATTGAACAGATCTCGTTAGTTGCAATAATAGCAGTCTTTGCGCTTTGCTAATTGCTCCGATTAAAATAGCCCTGCATCTTCCAGCCCTCCTGTCCCCTGTTTGGCCCCCCTGACTCTTGTCCACTCACCCAGCCACCAGGATGCGTGGGATCTCGCTGGCGAAGGCCTCTGCCATCTCACGGCTGCCCACGTTGGCGATGCAGTGCAGGGCCAGGCACATGAAGGTGGGATTGCGGCTGGACAGGTCATTCTTGATGGCGTTATTGATGAGGCGGATGAGCTCGCTGTTACTGTTCACCAGCACAGAGATGAACAAGTAACCCTGAAAGAGAGAAGCACATCGCTACAGTCACAGCCACAACACACAGGAAGAACATGCAAACAGGTCGCAGATAACATGAAGGGCACTGACTGAGGGAGGACGGTTTATCTGCTACACTCCCCCACTGCTCCAGAGAAGATTTTAAGATTATATTTAAGATTTTACTAAAAATGTAAAAAAGAACTCCCTAACAACTTCCTGGTCAGAAATCATGACATCATGCTAGGGAATTCCGTTATGGTTACCTAGCAACCATATTGTACACTGGGCCAAAACTCAGAGCTGATTCATTCCTTGGCTTATTCCCGCTCCATATGTACTTTTACAAAAGGGACATGTGCAGTTTAAGTGCTCTAAACGCTCACTACAGAATGACTAATGTGGCTGTGAAAAGTCTGTTAAAACACTACCTGCCAAAGTGAACGTAAAATACAGCCATTTAATCATTTAATAATAATTTTAAAACTGTTAGAAATGTAACTCACCAATACTTTTTTGTCCAGTCCAAATGTAAACACTTAGATAAACATCTCACTAGATAATTTTTCTCTTGTGTACACAATCCTGTGTCTATTGTGTCTTGCGAGATCTTGTGGCATGAGATTTTGCACCATCCCTAGTGAATATGTCAAATGTGTTGCATAAAAAAGGATTTTATATGACTGTAGTTCAAATATTTATTGCATCAATTATATTTTACACTGGGGAGGTCTTCCTGTGTTATTTTGAATGGGAAAGATTTGGACACCCCAGAGGATTGGAACATTAGCTTGTAAACACTTGTGAAATTGAACACATTCAAGATAAACAGGTCATATATATATACATACATACATATATATACATATACATATATATATATATACATATATATATATATACATATACATATATATACATATATATACACATATACATATATATACATATATATATATATATATATATATATATACATATATATATATATATATATATATGTATATACATATACATACATATATATGTGTATATACATATATATGTGTATATACATATATATATGTGTATATACATATATATATGTGTATATATATATATGTGTATATATATATATATGTGTGTATATATATATATGTGTGTATATATATATATATATGTGTGTATATATATATATATATATGTGTATATATATATATATATATATGTGTATATATATATATATATATATATATGTGTATATATATATATATATATGTATATATATATATATATATGTATATATATATATATATGTATATATATATATATATGTATATATATATATATATATATATATATATATATATATATATATATATATATATATATATATATATATATATATATATATATATATATATATATATATGTACATTACCAGTCAAAGGTTTGGACGAACATCCTCATTCAATGTTTTTTTTTCTTTATTTTATTACTTTCTACATTTTATATACTTATATGGAAGACATCAAATATACAAAGCTACATATATGGAATTGTGTAGCGTAGCAAAAAGTTAAAAAAAAAAACAAAAAAAAAACTTTTTTAATATTCAAATGCTCAAAAGTATCCACTCTTTGCTTTATCGACAGCTCTGCAAACCCTTGTCCTTCTGTCAGTGAACTTCATGATGAAGTCTCCTCTAATGGTTTTCACTTTACAGCAGCTCAGTATCAAGAAATGCCAAAAGTGTAAAGCAGGGTTCAAATGTTGACTATTTTATAAAATGTATTTAAATGTATTTTTTGCTACAGTCCATATGTTTCATTCATAGTTTTGATGCCTTTAGTGAGAATCTACAAAGTAAATAAATGGAAAAGTGTGTCCAAACTTTGAACTGGTTGTTCATAATGTATATTTACTTAATGAAATGTGTTAGTTTTAGGATAGAATCCAGGTTGTGCTCCTGTGTTCCTTCCCCGCTCACAGCCCCTCCCTCCCTGAGCCCTGTGGTACTCACGATCTGCTTCTCCGTGTACTTGTTGGAGCTGAGCAGGTTGACGGCTTCCATGTGTCCAAAGTCGATGTCATGGCCGAGGAGGAAGATGAAGAGCAGCTTGCACACATACTTCTTCTTACTGTAGCCATCCAGAGCTTTGTCGCCCTTAAACTTAGAGCGGATGTTAGCCAGCTCTTTGTTTATCCTTTTAATCTCAGCTTCTTTACTCTTACCTGAGGGGGAAACAGCAGAATCACAATATCACAAAAACAGCAGACTAAACTTGTTGAAAGCAGCAAGAGAAGACTCAATATCATAACAATCCCTCTGCACTACACAGACTGTACTGTGGCATCCTAAAACACAGTCACTTTGACTCTCAGTCCAGCTGCACCACAAGGATGATGGTTAGGATAAAAACCAACTAGAAGAGCTGCAGTTCAATGCTGACCAATATTACCAATAATGCATACTGATGTTGTACCCTTTGGCAAGAGCAAAACAATTCCCTTTGTGGTGTATAAGTGATTGATGTTAGTCTGAAGTGCCACTGGTGTAGACGGTGTGCCTAACATTGGTTAGTCAGCCACAGGGCAGCTGTGGCTGCAGCACTAGGTGCAAAGAATGAATAATGACAGATGCTTGATTGCCTGTCAAGTTCGTACAATGGAACACAAAAGGTATGGCATTATTATTTAGTGATTTCCCCAGCCAATATCCTTGGGCAATTCCTAGTCTTGTTTTTTTCTGAATGCATCACTGTAGGAAAATGTAAGACAGCAGTGCAAGTAAGATCTCAAGCCTACACTGACACAAGGAGAATAAGCAAACTTCTCACAGAATGACAGAAATCCTCCACGAGGTCATGGAATCAAACCTGGTATGTTTGCCCCTATGTCACTCTGCTGCACCCTGCATTCTGTATTACAGAGTGCAGTTCATATTTATGCATGAATGTATCTGTGTCCTTAGGGCACACTCTCAATGAACGGACTTAAGCTTTTTTTCCTCTCAGAATTAAATGCAGCCTCCAATCATCTCACAGCTCTGCTGGTGCGGTTACTACAACGCTAGCACACAGAAAGAGTTTTGTGAAAGGGCTAGACTTCTCCAGCAGGCACTCTCACTGGCTGACGATCGCTTTTTACACATGATTTTCAAGTGGTAAAAGTCAAACATGCAAAGTCAGCGTGATTGGAGTTTGGCCATGCACTTTAGAATCCCTCACCACTGTCTTCACTACCCCCACCTTGTCATAGTGTTTAATCTGTGCTGCAGGGTCACTGTTATGACTACAGAAGCAGGTGGCATTTTCAGCTCACCAACATTCAGCTCGGTGTAAGACACTAAAGGATGAGGTCTGTAAGAGCCTGCTCTGGTCTCCTCATACATTAAAATAAACCACAACACCTGCTCAGCGCCCCGCTCATAAGGTGTGTGAAAGAGAGACTTACAGTTTCTGATGTCTGAGATAAACACGGCTAATCCGCGCATTCCGTCTCCTTTGGACACAGCGGGCATGTTGGCGGCTTCTGTCCGTCCTTACGGGCTCTTCTCCGGGAACTGGTGTCGGTGTACCGCTGTCAGTGGCTCCAGGAGCGGTCCTGTGGCGCAGGCCTGGGCTTGTCCCGTGTCCGAGGGTTAGTCCGCGGGTTTGTCACAGGTAGAGTAGTGGAGGGAGGCTTACTGACGGACAGCTCTGCTCCAGCCGTTTCCCCTTTAACAGTCCGTTTCCGCTAGCTACCGCAGCTATTTCATTCAATTCCTCCGGGCTGGGATAACAGGGGCACAGGCTGTGTATGGGCCTGATGCCGATCCTACACCGTCCGTGTCTTTAGAGTGGGTTACAGGAAAGAGGAGATGTGGAATTAACGCGAAACAAACAGGAATAGTTTCAGTCACGCACTGCAAAGCTAGACTACCAGCTAGCTAGCTAGCTGCCTAGCAGTATCCTTGAAAGGATGCATACATCACCGCTGCGCGGATCAGCACTACCGGACCAGGCGCCGCAGACGTGCCACACTGCCCTGCCACACTGCCCTGCGCTGGGGAGCGGCCTCACGGACGGATCGGCGCGGTTAGGCGGATGGGATGCCGTTCGGATTGTCCAGCCTCCACTTCGGAGCTCGGATACTGGAGAAGGCTCGTGACCGCAGCTCCAGCAGCGCGAGCGCGCGACGCACACATGCACGCGCACGCAGCTGAGCTTTGGCCTCGGGTTCAGCGGCCAGAGAGCGCGCCAACGGACAGCGGGCGACAGCGGGCGACCCCACAGAGACCCCACAGAGACCCCACAGAGACCCCAAAAGTGTGTGTGGTGCGAGTCTTAGAGAGTTTGAATGGGACTTTTGAGAAGGCCATAGGGATGATCACAGTACTTCTATTAACCTTGTTTACTGTTTTAGCTGTTTTATTCACTCTCTGATCGACACATCCATAGATCCCTGATCTATTTAGTACTACTAGTACTACTCTACTGTATTCCAGGCAGTCATTTCTTTACTGTACTCCAGTCATCACTCCTAGTACTACTCCACTGTACTCCAGTTATCACTCCAAGTACTACTCTACTGTACTCCAGTTATCACTCCAAGTACTACTCTACTGTACTCCAGTTATCACTCCTAGTACTACTCTACTGTACTCCAGTCATTACTCTACTGTACTCCAGTCATTACGCCACTGACGTCATGACTGACGTTCACCTCCAGAGGGGCGTGGCTGCCGCGGCTGACTCTGACCTTCTGCCCAATAACAGATCCTCTCAACATTCTGTCCAATCACAGAGCGGCTTTCAACTCAGGGGGCGGGCTCCAGGAAGTGTTGAGTTTTAGCGGAGCCGCATCATCTCACGAGGCCGAACAGAGAACGAAATGGCGGCTACGACAGAGAGGATGGAGGTAACGATCTTGCACTCTTAAACCTTTTTATTTAAATGCAGGCCTACATTCGTTTGTTTAAATCGAGTATTTTTTTTTATAGTTTGTCCATGTTATTGTTGTAAGAATACGCTTGGTCAGTCGGCCTAATATGTGTGAACGACTCTTACCATTGTCTATTTTCACATCATACTAAAACAGAAGTAGCGCTCATCTGTCTCTGTAACACGGTGAAATGTGGTGGAGGGAGCTGGCTGGCCCTCGTTGAGTCTCCGGGCCGTGTGAGGGGAGGCCGGCTGAAGTGCGTAGTTGTTCGGGCTGCCTGGCTGGCTGGAGGCGTTAGCAGCACACCGCATGGCTTAGCTCCAGTGCTAGGTGCTCTCCTCCAGTGATGGCTGCCGACTCATTCAAAGCAGATCAAACCGGTGTTCAAAGACATCTGAACCTGTTGCACTGCACGTTTATCACCACCTACACCGTTCTAAATGGTTCAAATCATAGTTCTGAGTCTTTTTTTTTTTTTTTTTCTTTCTGAAAGCCTTGTGAGCCCAATCAATGGACCTCACAGAAATCTGTTCATTGTTCTCTCAAGATTGTTTCTATCGTTGTATAATTAAACACAAATACTGACAATTTTATAGGAGTGTTTTTAATTAACCAAATGATGCTCAATTGTGGACATATGGTCTTGTTTTTTTTTTTTTTTTAGAAATCGTATTAAAGAGTACACTATTGAACAGGTGAGCTGAAGGAACAGTATCATTTACGAACCTACACAATTGAGAAACTTTTGCCAAATATTCAATAAATCGATTTTTCATACTTGGTTTATCGCTTGGGTTAGAAAACTATGTACATGGTGGCCTAATGCTAAGCACTCCTGCCTCGCAGCAAAAAGGTCTACAGTTTGAGTCCTGGAACAGATGTGGCATTTCTGTGTGTGGATTGCATGTTCTACCTATGGCTGCTTAGATACCCCTCCTCCTCCACATATACAGCAAGGTCCTCTCTGTGACCAAGACCTTTCTTTTCAAATAAATATATCCATTTCCTTCTTTCAGTCTTTTAAATGGGGGTGGTATATCGATTATTAGCAGTATCGGAGGGTGTTTCAGTTTGTCCTCAGAATTGTTTGTGAACTGAACTAACTTTACCATAATTGATCTTTTTAATTTCTCGTACCAGTTCCAGTATTACAGCTTTAAGTATCTGTGGATATAAAAACAATAATAAAGACAAAACTGATGCAAATGTGTTGTGTAACTGTTATACCTCATTTAACTACACAGCTTTGTAGGAATAAAAGTTCAAACATTCTGAGACTTGGAACAACTATGATCAAAGAATAGTCTTATTACATCAGTGTATACCTTCCAACCAGGATATGTGGAAGCCATTATCTGATAAAGCAATATATCAAAATGCCACTTGGGATCGGTGCCTCCCTAGCCTGTACTATAGATGTTAAAAGCAAAAAAAATTGTTATTGGCAGCAAAAGCAAGACAAATATCAGGTATCAAAGAATCTATAGTGAACCATCCCTGCATTTTATGTTTAAATGACTCATCCCACCAGTTGGCTAAACATTAACACTTTATTCAACTTTAATGTGAGATATTAAACTGGTAGTGAAATTGGTAGCTGAGGTAACGCTGGGCCTATATCGTGTCTGTTGCAGGTTTCACAGGGAGAGAGCTCAGCCAAGCCCGCAGCTGAAGACATGACCTCCAAAGACTACTATTTTGACTCCTATGCCCACTTTGGCATCCACGAGGTACTGTGCTGCTTTTGTCCCTGCCTCTTCTGTGTTGTACAAAGAACTGGTGTATTCTAACTGTGCCACGCCCCTGTAGGAGATGCTGAAAGACGAGGTCCGAACGCTCACCTACCGCAACTCCATGTTCCACAACAAACATCTCTTCAAAGACAAAGTGGTGCTGGATGTGGGCAGTGGGACGGGCATTCTTTGCATGTTTGCTGCTAAGGCCGGAGCCAAGAAGGTCATCGGGGTGAGTGGATACGCTTTCCTCCTCATGTTCCATTAATGATCAAACAGCCCACATGTATAAGAATTTGATTTATACTGCCTTATTACAGCTTTACAGATTTGGATATTTATACATGAGGGTGGAAAAAAAGTTTATTAATATAAATATAAAAATGTTGTGTGTTCTGTTTTCTAGATTGAGTGCAGCAGCATCTCAGATTATGCTGTGAAAATTGTCAAGGCCAACAAACTTGATGACGGTGAGTTTAATATATTTTAGGACCGAGGGCTTTAAATAATCAAACATATTTTGACATTCACACCTCTTATGCTCAATAATGACAAATTTGTGACTGGAATATGTCATCACTGATGATTAAAACCAAGCATTATGCTTACTCATTGTACTCTAGTTTAGCTTAAACAGGGCAGAGAGTATTTCAGCAAATGTCAAGACTTACTTTAGCATTGGTTTCATATGGCTCTTTCTTTGAACTCTTACTCCTCACACTGCATTATTCAACTGTCTGATCAACACCCATCTCTCACTCACTTAACCAAATTTATACAAGGCAAGATGGATTAAGTGTCTCGACACAACAATATGCATTAGTCCACATCAATCCTTTGTCGTTTGGTCTGGTAGACAAGTGCTCTAATCAACGCCTGCTATAGGAACACAGATGAATAGGACTTTGATAACATGTTGCCCAGCATGACACTATAATGTATTTAGTTGTGCTGCTTGTCTCTAAATCTGCCTCTTGTATTTTTCAGTGGTGACCATTATTAAAGGGAAGGTCGAGGAAGTGGAGCTGCCTGTGGACGGAGTGGACATCATCATCTCTGAGTGGATGGGTTACTGTCTGTTCTATGAGTCTATGCTCAACACAGTGCTGTACGCCCGTGACAAGTGGCTGGTGCGTACATGCTCACACATGTCCCTGTGCTCTATATAAGATGTGGCTCATTACCAGAGCTTGAGTTCTCAGATTCAAGATTAGATTGTTGCATGCTTTTCCCGTGTCTGAGTACCTGCCCCATGAAATCAACATATTCAAATCGTAAACATGATGTATTCCGGGTGCTGGACTGTGGCTGCGTGTTGTTCTGACAGGTTGCTCTGGTGGCATGGATGGCTCTAATTTGGGGACTACTTTCCCTCGGAGATCAATGGTATCTTTCTTTTAGATAATGCAGAGAATAAAAAGTCCCTGTGTCTCCATTGGGGCTTGCATAGTAACCCAGTAGTTTGTAGTATAGACAAGATAATTTGTCCTGAAGTGAATAGGTTTTTCATGCAAGTTTGGCAGTTCATACCAGAGTCATCTGTAAAGGCTAAAAGCCCTGCACCAAGTCTATTAAACCATGAGTGACAAACATAGTCCAGGTTGAACTGTTGCATCCACCCACTCAGTCTCTTCTTTCTTGCGCCTTACCAGAGAAATGATTCCTATTTGTTCAACAATGTGGACATATCGGGTCACACCTGATCCTTGTGACTGTCAAACAGCTGCTTTTACAACACACTACATAATGTAGTTTCCTGATTTAGAAGAAAGATGCATTTATTTGGGAAATCATGCAGACACACGGGAACAAACATTGTTTGTATCTGCTAATTAAATTAAAATCCTGTCCCAGGTTGGGCATTTCTTCACATAATACAACATCAGTCAGGTACAAGGACTGTAAGGCTCCTGGATGTGTATAAGCTGATTTTAATCACATCTTTTCCACAGTTCTTTCATAATTCTTTTCTTGTGCTAATGCTAACAGAAAGCTGTCATTTGCAGAAACCAGATGGACTGATCTTTCCTGACAGAGCCACCCTCTATGTGACGGCCATAGAAGACAGACAGTACAAGGACTATAAAATCCACTGTGAGTGACTCTGCAACAGCCCTGTGAAGGACATATGTATTTTTAACATACAATTGAAGCTGTAGATTTTAGGTTCTGATTGTTTCAAAGACTTTCTCTTCCATTTCTTGCCTCTGTTCAGGGTGGGAGAATGTGTATGGCTTTGATATGTCTTGCATTAAGGAGGTGGCCATCAAAGAGCCACTTGTTGACGTGGTGGATCCCAAGCAGCTCGTCAGCAGTGCATGTCTCATCAAGGTAACATCTCCAGATCCTGAGTTGTGTCCTCCAGCCCCACATACAGTCTGACCCTCTCCTCTCCCTCACTGTCTGCTCTCAGGAGGTGGACATCTACACTGTGAAGGCAGAGGACCTGAGCTTCACGTCGCCCTTCTGCCTCCAGGTGAAGAGGAATGACTACATCCACGCTTTGGTCACATACTTCAACATTGAGTTCACCCGCTGCCACAAGAGGACAGGCTTCTCCACCAGTAAGCACTTTGACACACAAGGGTAAAGACAAAAAAACAAAAAAATTCAGAGTAAATGAGAAGGAAACTACGAACATGGTTAAAAGCTCTGAAAAATCTATGAATTTGCTATGACGGTTTGGAATTTGTCTCTTATGTCGTGTCCCACCTGTGTCTCCAGGCCCAGAGTCTCCATACACTCACTGGAAGCAGACGGTCTTCTACCTGGATGATTACCTGACGGTCAAAACCGGAGAGGAGATCTTCGGCACCATCAGCATGAAGCCCAACGTCAAGAACAATGTAAGCAGATGATCCGTGCCCCCTTCTCCTCCCAGTGTGTACAGGTGTGTGCTGAATGTCCCTGTGTGTCCCTGTGTTTGCAGAGAGACCTGGACTTCACCGTGGACATCGACTTCAAGGGCCAGCTGTGCGAGGTGTCAAAGACGTCAGAGTACAGGATGCGCTAGTGACCGCTCCACGCCCCCTCGGAGTTTGGCGAACGACTGGGAGCGCTCTTCCTCCTCCTCCTCCTCCCACCGACATTTTAAGACTCTTTTTGTCTCATTCAGTCGTCAGTATTTCCAGGTTTCACATGTGTGGTCAGTGGTGTGGTGATGCATAGTGCAGTAGTCAACCACAAAAGACACTCGTTTACATGTAATCCGTATCTCTTTGGTTTCCGCTCTTTGCATGTGTGAGACCTGTCTAGAGGTCATTCAAATTACTGTCAAGCTGAGTCAGTCTTGAAGTTTTTTTTTGTATAAATTCCGTGGCCCATGGTAGCTGTTCAAACAGCTGTGGGCTATGTAGTTTTTAGTGTAGGAAGAAGTCTACTGTAATTTCGCACATGCAGATTTGAGAGCATTTTGTTAAACCCTGGTTATTATTGCTCTTCTGGCACTTCGGAGGTCATTCCCACCACAGATAAATGCCATCGTATAGAAAGTACTCTTTGGTTGCTGCAGAAAACGCCTAAACACACATTGACCCAAACTAATTTTTGTTGTTTGTTTCTTATGCAGTTTTTAAATAATAAACTTTTGGCCGTAAACATTTTGATTGTTATTTAAAAAGTATTGTGTTAATAGTCAAAGAATGTACGTTTCTCCATCCTATTTGCGCACACCAGAGTAATACTGATGAGCCACGGTCCTGGAAAGCAGATGGTGTACATTGAGAACTGGCCTAAGGGCTCATACTGAACCTCATATACAGCGCTAGAGTTTTACCTTTATATTCCATTGCCGTTTATGGTATGAATATATTTTTTCTTTTTATAATAAATGCCCATGTATGTTCAAATATTCAGAATTTGGGTTATTTTCTACTACTACTCTGGCCAAAGAACAGAATAGGGTTTTAAAATGCACTGAGGATTCATCTTTACTGAGGTACTGATGGAAGTAAATCCATTCAAATGTGTCAGTATATCTACATCTCTCCTGCCATTAAACATGTAGCTGTGGAATAAAGCGTTGGGTTTATGTAGCTCCATCAAACCAATGTAAGCTTCAGGTGCTGCGTGGAGCATTATGCAGTGTTATATTTACTGGTGCTTTTCAGACTCTAGAATGGGATGAGGTACAGATTTCCCTATGAAATCTCCAAAAAGTACGTTTTGAAATGTTGAAAATGATTATTTCTGTGACTAGCGACTAGACCCAAGAACGCGCTTGTATTACAACATCATTTTAGCTGTATTAGCCTAAATAGGAGTGTTGCTTGGTGTGGAGAATGTGATTTCATCTGGAACCTGTTATTTAGAGTCCATTTAATCCACATTTCTATCCTCTTTAGAGTTAGACCTTATGTTGAGCTAGAATAGCAATCGTGTAGGCCTTGGTTGACTTGGGTTAGACCTAGTTTAAATAGTTTAGAACTGGGCTAGACCTCAAAATTGTCAGGGTTCAGTCGTGCACTGTCCAGTTTACAGTTTGTGGCTCCAGTGTGAAGATGCCACAGCGCATACAGGTGGGGGCAAGAGTTCCCTTTCCATTACACTGTACTTTCTGATGAAATATCCAAAAGGTAAATTCACAAATTCATTTCTATTAGAGACTAGACTCGAGAACTCACTGTATTACAACAATAAGAAGCATTTTAACAATATTAAGTTTAACTGCTCGCATCTGTATGAGCTTAAATATGATTGGCCTTTAGAGTGTGACAGTGGTGGATGAAGTACTCAATTTTGTTACTTAAGTTAAGGTGCAGATACAGAGGCAAATGATGATTCAAGTAAAAGGAATCACACGAGGGAAAAAAAATACAACTTAAGTATTTGTTTAAAAATTTAGGACTTCAAGAGTAAAAATTAAAGCACTGTGCAGAGATTTTAACACTTCAGTTAAAGATTTTGATCAAGAATTTAGCTTAGATTTGAAGTGAGTTAGTTTTTGTGTATTCGGTTTGCTCCATGTTGGGATGTCAACTCAAATGTCCTAAAAATAAGTCTGATCTTTTTCAGGTCTCAAACCATACAAAGCACTTTTTACTTTTCAGTCCAGATCTAAAGTAATGGTTTCAAATGTATTTAAAGTTAAAAAAAAATTATCCACTGTAAACACAGATACTTATAAATTGTTCTTAAGTATTGTGCTTTTACTTTTGTACTTCATTACCCTCCACCACTGATGTGTGTCGTCTAAAACCCAGTAGGCCTAATTTAATCTACATTTTTGGTTATATTTTGGGTCTTATGATCTCTTGTAGGGCTGGTATCATTAAGAAATAACCTATATGGTATTTATCTCGATACATAGGCCACGATACGATACATAGGCCACGATACGATACATATCTCAATCACATCTTGTTAAATCACTTCTTGTGCAAAGTTCAAATGGAACATAAACATTTTAATCATCAAAACTGTGAAAAAGTGAAACTGTCAAATGTGTTGAATTTCCTTCCTCTTAACAAGCAACAAAACTGACACACTGTAACCGTTTTTTTGCACACACTTAACCTCTTGTATGTTGCTGAGATTTTTTATTACTTATTATTCTATTTTATTTTGACTGTACATATACATTGATATAATGATGTCTTCTTTGACATGTGTCTTTTGCTCTTTTATCCTACTTATTTAGAGCGTATTTTTACCATTTACATATTTTTACTCTTAGTTATTGTGATATTGTGACATGTGAGCTGCTGTGTCCAAATCATTTCCTTTGTGGATCAATAAAGTTTGTCTGAGTCACAATCTAAATGAGCCCTTGTGTTGGACTAGACTTAGTCCTGGTTTAGACCTGGTTTAGGCCTGGTTTAGACCTGATTTAGACCTGGTTTAGTCCTGGTTTAGTCCTGGTTTAGACCTGGTTTAGACCTGGTTTAGTCCTGGTTTAGACCTGGTTTAGACCTGATTTAGACCTGGTTTAGACCTGACGTAATCCTGGTTTAGTCCTGGTTTAGACCTAGTTTAGTCCTGGTTTAGACCTGGTTTAGACCTGGTTTAGTCCTCGTTTAGACCTGGTTTAGTCCTGGTTTAGACCTGGTTTAGTCCTGGTTTAATCCTGGTTTAGTCTTGGTTTAGACCTGGTTTAGTCCTGGTTTAGACCTGGTTTAGACCTGGTTTAATCCTGGTTTAGTCCTGGTTTAGACTTGGTTTAATCCTGGTTTAGTCCTGGTTTAGATCTGGTTTAGACCTAGTTTAGGTCTAGGTCAGTCGTCCACATGATCACTCTTCTGTCCGGTGTAATGCTGGTGCTGGACACTAAAGGGCGCCATTTCCTCACAGAGGAGGTGAGAGACACTTGCTCAGGTAGGGAGACCAGATTTTCAAAATTCTAAACTAGGACACACCCAGGTTGGAATGGTTAGTATAAAAAACATTGTAACATTGTGGATTCTTATAATCTGAGGGACTTTTTTTTTTCTTTACTGTCATTTACAAACATGTTTTTGTGTATTTTGGCAAAACAAATGACAATTTATGCTCCTGTTTATCGTTGGAGGGGATCAGACTAGTCAGAAATTGTGATAATAATATTTTAGTCCTAGTTTAGACCTGATGTAATCCTGGTTTAGACCTGATGTAGTCCTGGTTTAGACCTGATGTAGTCCTGGTTTAGACCTGATGTAGTCCTGGTTTAGACCTGATGTAGTCCTGGTTTAGACCTGACGTAGTCCTGGTTTAGACCTGATGTAGTCCTGGTTTAGACTTGACGTAGTCCTGGTTTAGACCTGACATAGTCCTGGTTTAGACCTGATGTAGTCCTGGTTTAGACCTGACACAGTCCTGGTTTAGACCTGACACAGTCCTGGTTTAGACCTGACACAGTCCTGGTTTAGACCTGACCTTTAGACCTGATGTAGTCCTGGTTTAGACCTTAGATCCTGGTTAGACTGATGTAGTCCTGGTTTAGACCTGACACAGTCCTGGTTTAGACCTGAAGTAGTCCTGGTTTAAACCTGACGCAGTCCTGGTTTAGACCTGATGTAGTCCTGGTTTAGACCTGATGCAGTCCTGGTTTAGACCTGATGTAGTCCTGGTGTAGACCTGAAGTAGTCCTGGTTTAGACCTGACACAGTCCTGGTTTAGACCTGAAGTAGTCCTGGTTTAAACCTGACGCAGTCCTGGTTTAGACCTGATGTAGTCCTGGTTTAAACCTGATGTAGTCCTGGTTTAGACCTGATGCAGTCCTGGTTTAGACCTGACGTAGTCCTGGTTTAGACCTGACGCAGTCCTGGTTTAAACCTGATGTAGTCCTGGTTTAGACCTGATGCAGTCCTGGTTTAGACCTGACGTAGTCCTGGTTTAGACCTGACGCAGTCCTGGTTTAAACCTGATGTAGTCCTGGTTTAGACCTGATGCAGTCCTGGTTTAGACCTGACGTAGTCCTGGTTTAGACCTGACGCAGTCCTGGTTTAGACCTGACGTAGTCCTGGTTTAGACCTGATGCAGTCCTGGTTTAGACCTGACGTAGTCCTGGTTTAAACCTGACGCAGTCCTGGTTTAAACCTGATGTAGTCCTGGTTTAGACATGATGTAGTCCTGGTTTAGACCTGATGTAGTCAGTCCCGGGGAAACGGGGATGTCTGGACTCTCTGTGCTCATTCATCACGCGTGGGTAGAATATTTAAATCTCATGTAAAATACCAACATAAAGTGCGTTTTTTAGAAGTGGGAGAATAAACAACGAGACTGGAGATCCACGGTTGATACCAGCTGTAAGATAATCTGCTAATGCTAAATTCATTTGTGGCACAATTTGGACACTAAGTGATTTAAAGTGCTTTCATTATTACTAAAGACAACTAATAACTAATAAAAACCAAAATTATAACAACAAAGTGAAGATTAAAACAAGTGTGAAGAATAAAAAGCTCTCAGTCATGTGCAGAGCATTTTTGGTCCTGGATGTGCTGCTTATTATCATGAACGAGAACAAGATTCAGATGATATTTTAAAGGCCCTAGATCACACAAAACCATGTCCGAATCAAAAACAGACCTGGACTTGTGTTTTGTTTCATTCACACATTCAGTTCAATCAATGCAATTTTATTTTTTACAGTGTCAAATCACAATCCCACAAGAGCACACATCCACACAGACCTACAAACATGTACATACAACTGACATAACGTACACACAACCGACATAATGTACACACAACTGACATAACGTACACACAACCGACATAATGTACACACAACTGACATAACGTACACACAACCGACATAATGTACACACAACTGACATAACGTACACACAACTGACATAACGTACACACAACCGACATAATGTACACACAACTGACATAACGTACACACAACCGACATAATGTACACACAACTGACATAACGTACACACAACCGACATAATGTACACACAACAGACATAACGTACACACAACCGACATAATGTACACACAACCGACATAATGTACACACAACAGACATAACGTACACACAACCGACATACGTACACACAACCGACATAATGTACACACAACTGACAAAACGTACACACAACCGACATAATGTACACACATCCGACATACGTACACACAACTGACATAATGTACACACAACTGACTTAACG